GTAAACAAAGCCTGAGGGGCTAGGTGAGTGTTAAGCTCACTCCTGAGATCTGCATAAATAAAGCCACAGCAACAGCAGGCTGACAGCAGTGAGCAGGTGAGCCACAGCCTCAGATAGCCATTCACAGAACTGTCTCCAGACTTTTTTTTTTTCCTCTTCCTTTGAAGAGACAACAACCAAACTATACCTGCATGCTGAAAAACTTACTGAAACTGTATTGCATTTGAACTTGGGACACTTTGTGGTGTTTTTTTTCTTTTCTTTTCTTTGGCCTGGTTTGGTTTTTTCCCCCTTTGATGAGACAACAACAGAACTACTTCTGAGACACCATCTCCAGGATGGGAGGCTGAGGGACTAACACCAAGATTATTAAGACTGAAACTTTATTGCATTTGAACTTGGATTTTTTTTTCAATCCTCTCTCTGTCTCTCTAATGCCTGTTTAGCTTACTGTCAATTAGTACCCTATCTGCTTATATCTTTGAAACTTTTGTTTGTTTGTTTTGGTTTTCTTTTTACTTGTTTATTTTTTTACTTGTTTATTTTTTTACTTTTGTTTATTTGTTTGTTTTGGGTTTTTTTGTTTATTTTTTTCCCTTTTTCTTTAACTTCTTTGCTTTCCATCTCCTCTCACCCTTCCATTCTAAATATCACTAGTGCTATTATTACAAGCTAGAAAATACTTTATTGCACACAGTACAGGGACAATAACAACACCAAGGGCAATGATGGGAAGACAGAAAAAACAGGGAAACCAGTTTCCCCACAGCAAAAAAAAAAATTAGTACAGGAACCAGAGGGAAATGAAGAAAACAGATACTCAGATCCAGACTCCAACAAAATGAAGATAAACTATGCCAAAGAACCCAATGAAGCCCACAAGAATAATTTAAAAGAAGACATACTACGGGTACTCAATGAGAATTTTATAGAGATGATACTGGATATGGTCACCCAAAATGTACAGGAGACACTCAAGAAATTCCAAGACAATAAAATAGAGAATTTGAAAAAGCACAAGAAGAAATAAAAGAAACCATAGAAGCACTGTATAAACACCAAAGTGAAACAAAGAACATGATTAATAAAGAGATAAATGAACTCAGGACGAAAATAGACAACATTAAAGAGGAAGGGACTCAGGATATGGAAAACCTCAGAAAAAAGAATGAAACAGAATGACAAAACAAAATGGAAGGCCAATCCAGCAGAATAGAACAAACAGAAGACAGAATCTCAGAACTTTGAAGATGAAATGGTAATTAAAGGAAAAACTGAAGAACCATTAGTTAAACAACTCAAGACCTGTGAAAAGAAAATGCAAGAACTCACTGACTCCATCAAAAGACCAAACCTGAGAATCATGGGCATTGAAGAAGGAGAAGAGGTGCAAGCAAAGAGAATGCATAATATATTCAACAAAATAATAACAGAAAATTTCCCAAATCTAGAGAAATCTATTCCCATACAGATACAAGAGGCCTCCAGAACACCAAACAGACCAGACCAAAATAGATCTACCCCACGGCATATTATCATTAAAACAACAAATACAGAGACCCAAGAAAGAATACTGAAGGTTGTAAGAGAGAAAAAACAAATAACATACAAAGGTAAACCCATCAAAATCACAGAAGACTTCTCAACAGACACATTAAAAGCAAGAAGAGCTTGGGGTGAGATCTTCCAGGCACTGAATGAAAATAACTTCAACCCTAGGATACTCTACCCAGCAAAACTACCATTCAAAATAGATGGAGCAATAAAAGTCTTCCATGATAAGCAGAAACTAAAACAATATGTGACCACAAAGCCACCACTACAAAAGATTCTTCAAGGGATTCTGCACACAGAAAGTGAAACCCAACATAACCATGAAAGGACAGGTAGCACCAAACTACAGGAAAAGAAAAAGCAAGAAAGTAGAGAATAACCTCAACTTAGGTACACAAATCAAACCTTCAAACAACTAAGACAACTAAATGACAGGAATCACCACATACCTATCAGTACTAACACTTAATGTTAATGTACTTAATTCCCCCATCAGAAGGCACCGTTTGACAAACAGGATTAAAAAGGAAGATCCAACAATTTGTTGCTTACAGGAGACCCATCTCACTGACAAAAATAAGCATAGGCTTAGGATGAAAGGCTGGAAGAAGATTTACCAAGCCAATGGCCCCCCAAAACAGGTAGGAGTAGCAATACTTATCTCTGACAAAGTAGACTTCAAACCGACATTGATCAAATGAGATAAAGAAGGACATTCCATACTAATAAAAGGGGAAATAGACCAAAAGGAAATAACAATGATCAAAAAAAGAAATTCAAATGGCCAAATAACACATGAAAAAATGCTCACCATCTCTGGCCATAAAGGAAATGCAAATCAAAACCACACTAAGATTCCACATCACCCTTGTTAGAATAGCCATCATCCAAAACACCAGCACTGACAAGTGTTGGCGAGGATGTGGGAAAAAATGAACCCTCATACACTGCTGGTGGGAATGCAAGCTGGTGCATCCACTCTGGAAAAAAATTTGGAGACTTGTTAAAAATCTAAACATAGACCTGCCATATGATCCAGCAATCCCATTCCTGGGGATATACCTGAAGGAATGCAACACAGGTTACTCCAGAGGCACCTGCACACCCATGTTTATTGCAGCACTATTCACAATAGCCAAATTATGGAAACAACCAAGATGCCCCACTACTGATGAATGGATCAAGAAAATGTGGTAATTGTACACAATGGAATTTTACTTAGCCATGAAGAAAAATGAAATCTTATCATTTGCAGGTAAAGGGGTGGAACTGGAGAACATCATTCTGAGCGAGGTCAGCCAGGCTCAGAAGACCAAAAATCGTATGTTCTCTCTCATATGCTGACTTTAGATATAGGGCAAATGCAGCAATGTGGTTGGACTTGGATCACAGGAAAAGGGGGGAGCCCATATGGGAGATATAGGAATAGTCAGAAAACCCAAAACATGAAAGCATTTGATGTCCCCACTCCAGAGAAACTAATACAGAAACCTTAAAACGACAGGTTATCATGAGCAGGGGATCAGGAACCAATGTAAAGATCAGTTAGAGTTGAATCAACATGGGTTGTAACACATGGGTACATGAAAGCAATAGTAGGAATCTTTCTGTATGGCTACCCTTAACTCAACTAGCAAAAACGCTTTGTCTTTCTTATTATGTTCATGTCTTTTCTTCAACAAAATCAGTGATAAGGGCAGAACAGGACCTGCCTGAAACTGAGTGGGGGGGAGAGGGGCAGGATGGAGAAATGACCCAAACAATGTATGCGCATGTGAATAAATGAACAAATAAATAAATAAATAAGAAATAAATAAGAACACACCTGAAAAAAATAAATAAATAAAATTCATTAATCATCTCATTAGAAAATATCTATCTGATAAAGGACTCCTATCTTAAATATAAAAAGAACATTTAAAATTCAACAATAAGAAAATGAAAGTGCTTGCCTAGAATGCACAAGACCCTGGATTTGATATGCAATAATTCAGGAAGAAAGAACAGGAGGGAAGTATGAAAAATAAAGGATGGAAGGGAGGGAGGGAGGTAGAGAAGGAGGGAAGGAAGGAAGAAACAAAGGAAGTGAGGAAGGTGGGAAGACCTATTAAGAAATGGGCAAAAATATGATAGACACCTTACTTAAAAAGATGCATAGATTGACAACAAGCATCTGAAAGTTGCTCAAACCATTTGTACTTAGGGAATTTCACATTAAAACCATGAGATACCATCACCACCTATTAGAATGTCTTAACCCAAAATACTGGTGATAGCAAGTGCCAGTATGAAGCAACAGAAATGCTCATACATTGCTCGTGGTATAGCCATTTTTGGAAGATAGTTTGCAAATTTCTTACAAAACTAAACACACACTTCCTATGCTCTAGCAATTGCACTCCTTAGTATTTGCCCAGATGAGTTAGAAACATATGCCCATTCCAAAAAACTGCATATGAATATTCATACTAGCTTTATTCTTAATATCCTAAACTTGGAAACAAGTAAGATATCTTCAACAGATGAGTAGATAAACAAAGTGTGCTATGTTCATACAATGGAATTGTACTCAGTAATAACAAAGAAATAAGCTATCAGCAATCAAAAACTTGAAGGGACCTTAAATGCATATGGCTAAATGAAAAAAGCCAATCTGAGAAGCCTAGACACTGTCTCATTTCGAATGATTTGAGCATCTTTTCAGATGATGTTTTCCATCAATGATTCTACTCTATGATATTCTGGAAAGGGCAAAACTGTGGCGACAGTAAAAAGATCACTGGCTGTGAGGGATGTGTGAGGAGGAGGGAAGGAAGAATGAATAGGTGGAGCAGTGAAACTATTCTGTATAATATTTTGATGGTGATTATACCTTTGTCAAAACCCACAGAATTAGCAACACGAAGAGTGAAAGAACCTTAATGTGAACCATAGATGTTAGTCAATAACACAGTAACAATACAAAGTCATAAATTGTAACAAATGTGCCACTCTAATGTGAGATGTCAGCAGTAAGAGAATTGTATATGTGGAGGGGAGGAATAGTTCTCTGTACTTTCTGCCCAATTTTCCTATGGTTCCTAAAACTGCTCTAAGATATAAAATCTATTCATTTTAAAACAGTGCAATGCATACTTTCCTGTTTGTAGGCTTGTCCATTCGGCAATAATCCCATTGAATTTCCAAGTAACTTTAGCTTAAATATGGTCATGCAATAATCTTTATTTCACTTTCTACTCCTAATCAGTTATGTGAAATTTGAGTTATATTATACATAATAGTTAACATTTCTTCAGAAGAGAAATTGTAAAATATTTACTTATAATCTAAATAAATACAAGAATTTTTTCCCAGCTCCTCAGATTGACATACTAGAAAGATATTTAGAACATGCTTCCATGGAAGAGCCTTGTTTTCCATTCAGTTTTCTTTTTCTTTCTTTGTAGACACTCACACTTTCAGGGGAAGTTTGTGTTTGGTGGATAGAGGACTGTACTTGTGCAAGCAAGATTTATCTGAAAACCCCAGTAAGTGTACCTGCTAAAAGATTTGTTTAGAGTTGTTTCTAATCCAATCTACCTTGCAATATTCACAATTCAATAGTCTGTGGAAATATTTGCTACAGAAGCCTCATTGCACTTTTGTCTTAGGAATAATCCCTGTGTGTGAAGTATATGGTACAGCCCAGCAGCAGCTCACAACATACTACACACCCATGTAGGAAAGGCTATGTTTTTTCTGGAATCTGTCATTTCTCTCTCACTCATGGTGTAGGTTCATTGTAGACAACAGGGTTGGCTATTGCAGAAAGGCTCTCAGGAGGCTGCTGATGGCGGTCCCATTAAGGAATGGCTTTTCATTGCCATGGCAAGGCAGCATGAGAGTGCTGGAGGGTCACTGCTTTTGCTCAGAAATCAAAGAGCCCTTTGGCCATAACTAGTTAAATGACACCACTTTGCAAGGAGATTAGTTGCCCCTCTAATCAGATTAAGGCAAAAATTTAAAAGAGAGAGTTACTGGGTCAGTCAACCATAAAGTGCAGAATTTGTCTAGCCTCATGTGTACCTCAGTCCAGCAGTTTAAATGGTATCACCAAGGACCTTGTTTTCCCTCTCTGCCCCTACTGTGTGCCTTTAGTCTCATCTCAGGCCTCATTTAATGGTATCCAGCTGCCACAGGTGCCAACCTCTCATCACCTTGTCAGGGAAGGAAGCTTCTGACAGTAGTGGGAGGAAGAATACAGAACTTTCTCCTCTCCAGAGCATCTTCTAACATCCCTGAGCTAATCACTGTGGATAGTGGGATGAAAAGTGCCAATAATTGGTATAAACTCAGCCCTCAGAGTGGAAGTCAGATCCATTCTACTAAACCCTAAAAATAGGTGGGGGGGGGAGGTGGTTTCTCAGTGCTTAGTCAGTAAGTTTTCTCCAGAAGGAGGATGTGTGGGTGCTGGTAGTAAACCACAAGTGCCCACAACACCTGCCTCAATGTGATGCCATTACTTCTGCCATGCTCACCGTGCATTTCACATGAAATAAAATAAAAACAAAATTAAAGCACCATGAAACAATGGCAAGCAATGGATTTCCTCTGTTGTCATCATATGCTGTAGATGAGTATGGGATTTTGTAGGCAAGGACTTACAGTCCTTCCCCTTTAAAAAATTAATATCTCAACTATAGAAAACTAAGCATACACCTTATTTAAGACACACAATTCAATGGGATAAATGAAACCTGATCTCAAAAGTAAAGATAAAGTTTCTTGTGTAGGCTCTGCATGGTAGTGTGCACGTGGGATCCTGACGCTTGGGAAGCTTGGGAAGCTTGGGCAGAAGATCACAAGTTCAAGGCCAGCATGGGCTGCATAGCAAGAAAAAATTCTTGTACTTGGCTCAAGTGGCATAGCATGTAAGAGGCTTTGGATTCAATCCATACTATCACAAAAAATAGTAATTTTGTGGTGGCATGCCTATAATCCAGCATTGGGAGGTTGAGACAAGAGGATTGTGATATAGAGAATAACCTGGACTACATAGTGAGACCCTGTCTCAAATAAAAAAATAGGATTTAAGAATTCTTACTTGAAAAACCATGAAACAGGAGAAGGCTATAATCTGTGTGATAAATGTTTATATGTGTTAACTTCTATTAGAATTTTTAGAACTGAAGAGACTTACATGTCTATGATTATCTCCTTCTACAGATGAGAGATATACACATGTTTAACAATACCTCAAGGGACCCTATGCATCCAGGACTTACCTTGTTCTTCTTGGCAGGGAGATATACAGGCACCAGTAGAGGCCTCAACCAACCTTCTTGAGTTCCTAACCAGCCTGGTATAGGCATGTGATTTAGCCCATGCTGGGAGAAACACTGGTGTTTCCTTACTGGAGGATACCACTGCCTTACAGAGAATTGATCAGTGGACAGACCCAGAGAGACTATGGCCAGATCTCCCTGCCCCTGCCACAGATGTGTTCCCTGCAAACACTTTAGGCAGTGGGCCTCAAGGAGCCCTGCCTAGTTCTGCCATGGTGGACACCCAGACACCACAGCTTCCCTCAATCACACCTGCTAGGGGACACAGACTCCTCTGGCTATTGCTAAAGGTTTTTAGACTAGTCCATTATTGCCCTAAAATGGAGGAATTTCAACTGATTATTTTGGGGGCAACAACAAAAACACATACACACACATGCACATTCACACATTGGGAGGTCCCATAAAGGCTTTCAGTTTAAAAATAATCACAAAGTACCACCCAGTTGGACACTCTCGTGGTGTAATGAGGCAGGACACGCTGAGTACTCCCCTGATGTCACCAGGATGGGCAAATCGCTGCACCTCCTCAGTCTGTTTTCTATTCTGAAAAGCCATTATCTCTAAAGTTTTTTTCAGCCCTAGCATTCCATGAATTTATTCAAAGCAATTATAAATCATAACCAAAAAATTATAAATCTTGATTCCTTAAGTATTATGGGAGTAAATTTATTCTCTTAGACATTCTGTATAAATAATTGTGGGAAAAATGGGGATCTGCTTTGAATTTCTTTTCTTTTTTGAGACAGGTCTCACTATGTAGTCCAGGTTAGCCTGTAACTTCTTATGTGTAACCAAGGCCGGCCCCAAACTTTCATTTCTCCCACCTTAGCTTCCCAAGTGCTGGATTACAGGTGTGTACCATCACAACAGGCTCTGCCATACATTTCTTTGTTAACTGAATATGTGTTTCATTGACAGAGTTCTCTCCTCAGTTCTCCATCAGTCATATCAGCACCTCAGGACCCAGAAGATCACATGATGAACATTGGTTTTAAAAATCATACTATCTATAAAATGTCCAAAATATGCTAGGAATATGTTTTAATTTTGTAATTTCATTATTATCAATCTAATTGTTTAATAATCATTTCGTCATTATTTGGGAAAGAACCTCTTTATATTCTATACTCTATTCTTGTTATTTTAGGATAAAGAAGTAAATTGTACAGATTCCTGTGACTGTTTATGCAATTGGTTAATTCAGGAGTGTTGAGTTTGCAATTTGAAATCTATACCACAACACACTTGCCACTCTTCTCATTCTGCAGGCTTTTCAAAAACTTGCAGGCCCCTTGCCTACTCTGCTAGGAATGGAACCCAGTGCCTCGTGCATACTAAGTGCAATGCCCAGTAAGTTTCTTGTGCATAGGAGCACAGGCTCATTCTCCAGTTTATCTATAGCAGGCAACAGCTCTGGCTTGCTCGCCTTCCTCCCTCTCTGCTGCCGTGGGGACCTTGGACGGCTGTGTGTACTTCCTGGATGTTCATGAGGCCGAGTCCCCCCAAGTGATTCACAAGGCTTTCCTCTGCGAGTCTCCCGTGCAACACCTCATGTAAGCATCTCTTGCTTCTGCAGCACCTTTTCGAGGCATCTGTCAAAGGTTCCAGTGAAGTCATCATTGCTTTTAAGTTTTACGTGTTTCATTTCTTTTGAATAGTAGTACATTCAACATTCAGAAAGTACAGAGGGGTGTGTAATGGAAAGTCCCACACTCACTAAGTTCTCTTCCTGGAGGCAGACGATGAACCAATTTCCTGGGTCCCATTTTATCCATAATCAATCAAAAAATGACAAGTACTTTCTTCACTTAGGCAAATAACCTTCAAGCGCTGAATGGGCCAGACATTTCTGTTGAATTAGCTCCATAAAGCAGAGACTCTGCTCTCTCCATTTTACAGATAAGAACGATGAGGCCCAAAGTGTTTAAGTAACTTTCTCAACCATACATAGACTAAATAGCTCACGTTGGATCCCAGACCAGGCAGCTGGCCACAGAGCTCCTGCCATTGCTCCTAAAGGGAGCAAATTGTACACTATGTTCTGGGACTCAGTTTTTCCCACTGTTAGTGTTAAGTCTGGAGAATGTTTTACCGCCACATAAAGACCTTCCTCATTCTTTATCGTGACATAGGATTCCATTATAAGATTATTTCATCATTTAAAAAATAGTAAATTGATGGACATTTAGATTATTTCAAATCCTTTGAAGCAGTATTTTTAAGAAGACAGTGTAGAGACATGGGATTTCTATGTTATTATTACTCTTTTTTTTTTAAATCGTAACAAGTATTAAGAACTGACATTTGGCTGGTGGCGTGGCTCAAGCAGTAAAGCACCTGCGTAGCAAGTTTGAGGCCCTGAGTTCAAAACCCAGTAGCATAAAAAAAGAAAGAAAAAGAATTGACATTGGTGCCCTGCTTGATGACTTTGGTGCTCACTGAATGTGATCGTCAAAACACCTGTCAGAAAGGAAGTCAGCTTGTCCCTGCTAAGCAAGCTAGGAAATTCAGGTTCAAAGAGGGAAAGAGAAGCCTTTTCCCAAGACTTCACAGTTAGCCTTCTAGGCTGTTTCTGTCCAGCTCTGCAGCCTCTGGCCCGGGGGGAAAGCAGTTATAACCTCCCCTTGTGCCCCCTGCTCTTCTGTACCATGCATTCTGTGTGTGCCTCTTCTTTCTCAGATCCTTTCCTCTTCTTCTGATGGGCATTTTCCACTTTTTCTACTTCTATGAAGTTGTAGAAATGCTCTTTCTCCTCCTGCCAGGTACCAGTCACTGGTACCAAAATGCCACATCCGTCACTAATTTGAGAATCCATATTTCCACTAGGTACATCAAGATAGCCCTACTGACATTCTTCATTCACTTATGAAACAGTTGCCCACCTTGCCTTAGTCTTCTTGAGTGTGCACTTAGAAGTTGCAACTTGGAATAGCATTGGCCCTGAGTGTAACGATGGGCAACTGTTTCCAGCTGGAGAAAAAAAGAGGCTCTGATGATCATCAGATTTCTTCTTTTCTAGTTATGACCAGCAAGGATTCTATCTGTTAGCTGGAACATCAGAAGGAAACATCTTTGTTATCAATGCCAAGCCCTCAAGCTTATTTCAGATTCTTGGATTCACAGGTACAACATATGATATTCATTCATTTAAAACATTGATCATAGCTGGGTGCCAGTGCCTCATACCTGTAATCCTAGCTAGGAAGGGCTGATATTGGGAGGGTCCCAGTTCCAGACTAGCCTGGGCAAAAAAAGGTTGTGAGACCTCCATCTCAATTGAAAACATCTGAGCTTGGGGATGCACACCTGTCATCTCAGTGATAGTGGGAAGCATAAAATAGGATGATGGTGGTCCAGGCCAGTCTGGGCAAAAAGCAAGACCATATCTCCAAAATAACCAGACCAAAAAAGGCTGAAAGTGTGGCTCAAATGGTAGAGTGTCTACTTAGCAAGCATGAAGCCCTGAATTCAAATTCCAGTACTGGGATGTGAGGGCAATCTGGCTGTGACATCTGTCACCCCATTGATCGCCAGGGTTGATTCGGCTGATCTGGCTGGCTAGGCAGGTGTGCCCTTCCTCCCTAATTGCTCCATGTGCGTCCTTTCCAAAGCTGCTTGGTTGAAGAGGATGACCATCCCCAATAGAGGAGGACCGTTCTTCAGTCAAGGGTATACCAGTAGCTGTGTTCCCCTGCTAGAACCTCCAAATAAGCTCTCAAAGTCCAGTACTGCTAAAAAAAATCATCACTTTATTCCAAAGAATTTAAGGTTATGAAATGGAATTATATGAAAAACAATTGTTTATGGCATATTTTCTAAAACAGAAACATCTAAATAACAGTTAAAAGTTAAGAGGAGTCCCACATTATATTTAGAGGTATTTGGAGTATTAGGGATACATGTTTAGTATGTAGTGCATGCTAAAAATTTTTCTTATGTCAATAATTGAATTAACTAATGAAATGGCTGAACCCTCATGATATTAAGGGAAGTGGGAATGGTTTCTTCCTGAAATACTTTTTAAGATAATTTTTGATCTTTATTTAATAAAGAACTAATTATTTTGTCCTTGGCTTTAAGTACCAAACATGTACATCTATTTCCCCCCAAAATATGTTTAAAAATCCATCACTTGATTTATAAAAATTACTGAGAGCTTAGTAGGTGGAAAATGCCGAACCTAGGCCTTGTGGGAGATGAAAAAGCCAAGGAGATTATATAATGAGGGAGAATACTATGAAGGCTCACAGGAAGAAGCAGTTAATTGCCTGGTGTGAAGAAAGGAGTGCACAGGTAAAGGATTGCCAAAGGTTAAGGGAGAATTTTCCTACAGGAAGTGGTAGACTTGGAAGATTTTTATAAGGGCAGGATGAGGAGTATTTGACTGTTAAAGTCTGGCCTAAGAGGTTAAGGGAAGAGTTTACTAGCAGATGACCATGGCAATGAAGTCTGAAAGATGACAAAGGGCATTGAATACCATTCCAAAGGAGCCTGGAAATTGTTCATTGGTTAATGGGACATCATCAGATGAAACAGGCATGATCTGGCTTGGGTTTTAGAGGATGACTCTAACACTAGTGTGAAGAATGTAGCAGAAAGAAGAAAGAATACACTAAGAAAGATGAGTTAAGAAGGTATGATAGTAGTTAAGACAACCAGACATCAGATGACAATAATCACACCACAGCCTGAATGTTACGTTATCATGAAATTTCTTCCACCAAATTAATTAGTGCATTACCTTTAATTTCAGCCTCATTCAAAGTCTCAGTTTGTTTACATTTGGACAAAATGTAAACAAACTCTTTGCAAGAATGTAAAATGAATGGCCTCTAGTATACTTCCAAATAGCATCTTTTGAGCTCAGGTATTGCTGTCCACATTTCTATTGGCAGTCTGATCTTCAGAGCTCTCACCAGAATTGCCCATTAAGCTCTGCCTGCAGCATTCTAGGGTTTCTCTAGAATACATCTCCAAACATTTCCAAAAACTACAAGTTCTGAAGACTTCTGAACCACATGGTCACGAATAGTCACAGCACCAACCCCATTTCTGGTTCCAATTTTCTGTATTGGTTACTTTTGTGTTTCTGTGACCAAAATACTTGAGAGAACAACTTAAAAAAGAAAAGACTTACTTTGTCTCACAGTTTTAGAGGCTCAATCCATAGTTGCTTGGCTCCATGTATGTAGGAGCTGGAGCTTGTGGTGGGGACCCTTCTTTACCTCATGATGGACAGGAAGTAGATACAGGGAAGGGACCAGAGACTAGGTATAGCCTTCAAAGGAACACTCCACTGGCCTACTTCCAGCAACTAGGCCCCATATCCTAAAGTTTCCACCACCTCCCAACATAGTGCCACCATCTGGAGACCCAGTGTTCAACACATGAGCCTGGGGGGTGGCATTTCATATTCAAATCATAACATAATTCAAGGCTTAATGATAGAAATCTGATCTTGAGAACATGGAAGCTGATGGAGTAGCCTGAGAAGACAGAGTAGAAGCAAATCTAAATGGTTATTGGGGCCAGAAAGACAACCTAAATATGTAAATTAGATACACATAGTGTGTTGAGCCTGTGGCTGACCTGAGAGTAGATGCATATCTTTCCTAAATAGCCCACTTTTTAACCTACCTGGTTGACCAGTGGGTAGAATGGGAGAAGCTGGAATTGAACACATCCACATTTTGTACTGATGCTGTGAACAGAGGAATATGAAGCAGTGAAGAAGACTGAGGAGTAATGAGGGAGTAATGAGTAATGAGGGAACTGGGGTGGGGGGTCATCACTCCAGAAGGAGCTCGAGGAAGGAAGGCTGGGTAAAAGTGTGTGTGGAGTGAAGGGTAGGGAGAGGCTGTCGTGAATTTGCCAATCAGCAGGTGCTCCCTGAGAGGCAAAGACTTCAGGGAGGGGATAGATGTAAGAAAAGTCAGTAAGTGGTAAGCCTATTTTCAGGGGTTTACAGAGGGGGATAATGGATCAGATGGCAACTGCTGAGGGGAAGCTGTTGAAAGAAGGTTCTTAACTGAAGATTGGGGCATCTTGCAGAAAGAATAAAGGGAGCCATAGGGGATGCAAGAAGATGAAAAGAAGTATTTGAGGGCTAGGGTAGGCTCAGTGGTAGAGCACTTGCCCAGCATGTGAGAGACCTTGGGCTCAATTCCCAGCACTGCAAAACAAAAGCAAAGTGATTGATAAGAGATTGGCAGAGTAGGCTCAAGATCACAGATGGGGATTAAGACTGATTCCTACATCGATGTCAGGAAACAAAGGGGGAGAATGAAAAGAACAAGAAAATGTGATATTCAGGATAAAAACATCAAAGCAGAGTTTCTGTGTGATGTCCTTGGCCTTCTTGTTAAGGAAGGAGAAAGGCAATCTGCTGAACACCTGGGGAAGGGCTGAGATGGTAGAGAGCATTATCGTGTGAACCCATGGTGGGCTCCAGTCATGGAGCACCTTGCCCAGGTCAGACTAGCTGGATTTCTATTTGTTGTTGTTGCTGTTCAGTCAATGTAACTATGTTTATTTTTTTCCTTTTTTAAAATTATTGTTGTACTGGTGGTGCTTTGTGACATTTACCAAAGTTCTTACACTATATCATAGTTGAATTCACCCCTTCCAACATTCTCCTGGATTTCTAGAGGAAAAGTCTCATAGTCGTGTGTGCTTCTAGCACATCTGGAAGCCCTTAAGATGCAAAGAACACTGATTGATGCTGCATTTTATTCAGTGTTAAGTTTAGGGAACCTGGCTGGAGTGGGCATGTGAGAGGCCAGAGCACACTGTGTGCAGATGAGGGAGAGGTGGGAATGGTGGGCTCTGGAAGGCACCTAGTTAGGGAAGAAGCTAGACCGAACTAACCTGGTTGGAATCTTGTGGGTCCAGACATCTAATTGGGAGAAATACCTTATCAGTTCATGAAAATGTCCCTTATGTCACTTATGCTTAATGGTCACTTTAAATATCAATAAATAAATGTAGGATTAGAGAATAAGTGAAGGCAAATCTCTGTGTGATAGTAAGAAGGTTCTTACTTTTTTTGTTGTTGTTTGTTTATTTTGAGACTGGGTCTCCCTACATAGCCCAGAACTGGTCTTGAACTTGAGATCCTCCTGCCTCAGTCCTCTTGAGTGCTTGAATTAGAGTTGTGCATCACCACACATAGCTTAAAAGATTTTTAAAATTTATCTAATGACCACTTGTGGGGTTCATTTCTGTTTGTTTTCAGAGATGAACCAAGAGATTATACAGATATCCACAGTGTCTCTTTTGGAAACAGGCATAGTAGAAGTGGTGGTGCTTTCCCCACTTCCAGAAACAGGAAGCAGCAAGCTGGAAATATTTACTCTGCCAAAAATACTACCAGAAGGTAAAGAAAAATAAGCAACCCAACCCATTCTTCTTGGACCCTGATAAGTTGGTGCTATAGTTATTTTCTGTTTGGTTTTGTTTCTGGTGATAGCATTTTTTTTAGCATGTGGAGAGGTAAAATAACTACAGTTTGTGCATCTTCTTACAAAGTTAAACTGGTGTGGCCACTAAACAACTTGAAATATGGACTTTCCTTCTAGGTCTTGTGACTCACAAATCTATTTGATAATCAGAGAAAAGAAGTAGGACTAACTGCTATGTCAAATTGATGTCTCATTTTGTGATACTTTTTGTTTTATAGCTTTAAAGATGCATGGTTAAATTCAGATAGTTTACAGTGTAGTTATCTTCACTGATTAAAATTATAACGAATACTTTCTGGGAGAAAGCCAATATAGTGGATTAGAAGCAAGCAGCACTCTCCAGCTTCTCCACCTCTTGGAAGCAAAATAGCAAGAAAGAAGATTCTCAATGAGGATTTGAAGTTACAAATCAGAGCTGAGCTGCTACAGAGAGAAACTGCAGAGCTTCCACAATCCTCTGCGTGAACAGGAGCCAGCTGGGAAAACATGCAAATAAGACCTATGTGGGAACCCTACAAGTCAAAAGCTAGATCCCTGACAGCTGGTGCAGCTTGAGTTGAATAGAAAGCTAGTTGGTAATCCGAACACAAATCTGAGAGCATGGGAACTGCACAAGTCAAACACAGAGCCCCACATGGGGAGGGACTAAAACTGTAGAGCCTGACACAGCCTCAGCAATGTGATGGGTTGAGAGAATAATAACCTTTGAGAGGGTGAGGGCCTGGAAATTGCCATAGGTCCAGTAGGGAGCAGGAGCAGAGTCAATACTAGTCAGGAGCAAGCCTGCAATAAACTGTGAGGTTAGGAATCATCGGTACCTGGGAGCTAGGGTGGGAACTTGGAAACAGCATTTTCTGTCTACATGCTATATTGGGGCTCCAGCTCAGAGCCTTAGAGGTGCTTGGCAGTTGCTCTGCAACTGAACTACATCCCCAAACCAGACAACTCCCTGTGGCCTAAGCTGTTCAGACTTTAAAAAAAAAAAAAAGACTGCTGCTGTGGGTGGGTGAAGAAGCCATCCTTCTCCCCAACAATAAAGAAATATTGATTGTTTGTTTTGGGGTTTTGGTGTGGAGTTGTTTGTTTGTTTTGGTTTGGGTTTTTTCCCCTTTTTTTGCAGTTACTATTTTTGTGTCTTTATCTTATTTCCTGGTTTCTCTGTCCATATTCTGCTCAGAGTTCTTACTCAGAGTTATTTCTTATATCTCACAAGACATACTTTCCCACTCATCCATATCTTGCCTCTTTCCTTTCTGTTTCCCCATTCTGCCTTATTTTTTTTACTCAATTATTAATACATATACCTTAAATTTTTTTAAATCTAGATTTCCTGTAAGTTTTTCAGTTCCTTTTCTGACACAGCCTCAGGGGAATAATTGATGTTTATAATTTTTTTTAAATCATTTAATTATCAGGTTTGTTTTTGAATTGTTAATTTTGCTTTTGAGTTTGCTTCTTCTCCTCTGAGTGGTAGTGGAAGAGATAGCCAACTTAACAAATGACAAATTGCAATGCAGAAGCACAAGTAATAAGAAAAAGTAAGTCAATATGACTCCTCCAAAGGTCAACAACTTTACAGTAATGGATGCTAATGAAATCCCAGACAAAGAATTCAGAATATTGATTATCAAATGATCAATGAAATTAAAGAAGACACATATAAACAGCTGAATGAATTTAAAAAGAATACAAATAAGCATCTGAATAACTCAAAGAAAACACAAATAAGCAGCTAAATGGAATGAGGAAGACAGTACAGGAAATGAAAGAGGAATTCAATAAAGATACAGAAATCCTGAAAAATATCTAATTGAAATTCCAGAAATTAAAAATTCAGTAAGCCAAATAAAAGACTCACAAAGTCCTGCCAGTAGACTGGATCAAGTTGAAGACAAAATATCATAGCTTAAAGACAAAGTAGATGAATAAGAATGTTCAGATAAAGAAAAAAGTAAGAAAATGCAAGCAACATGCAAGACCTCTTGGATGCCATAAAACACCAAACCTACAAATTGTGAGCATAGAATAAGGAGAAGAGATGCATGCTAAAGTCATAGAAAGCATACTTATTAGAATAATAATGTAAAATTCCCCAAATCTTGAGAAAGATGGTCATCCAGGTACAGGAGGCTTTTAGGACACCAAATAGACAAGACCAGAAAAGAACATCCCCACAGCATATTATAGTTAAAACATTAAATATGCAGAACAAGGAAAGAATAATGAAAGTCACAAGAGAGAAGTGCCAAATTACATATAAAGGCAGACTCATGAGAATAGCAACAGATTTCTCCAAGAACCCTAACAGTAAGGGGGGCATATAATGATGTATTCCAAACTCTAGAATCCTATATCCAGCAAAGTATCTTTCATAATTGAAAGAGAAATAAAAGCCTCCCTTGATAAACAAAAACTAAAGGAATTCATTACCACTGGTCCAGCACTATAGAAGACAATTAAAGGAATCCTATGTACAAAAGAGGAAGATAAACATAAACATAAAAATACAGTAAAAATTAATCTCACTAGATGACTAGGTAAGCAAATGAGAATTAGGGAAGAATCAAACACTACAAAAACAACAAAATGACAAGAATTACTATGTATCAGATTGGAGGTGTGGTTCAAGTAGTAGAGCACCTGCTTTGCAAGTGCAAAGCCCTGAGTTCAAACCCCAGTCCCACCAAAAACAAAAACAAAAAAGAATTACTACATATCATTTAATAATAACTCTGAATGTTCATGACCTCAGTTTTCCACTCAAAAGACACAGATTGATGGGTTGAATAAAAAAAAAATATCCAACCTTTTGTTGCCTACAAGAAATGTACCTCACTGGCAAAGACAGGAGGATCATGGTTCAACTATATCTCAACAATACCCAACACAAAGAAAGAACTGGCAGAGTGGATTAAGTAGTAGAGCACCTGCTTAGCAAACATGAGCCCCTGAGTTCAAACTGCTGTACCACAAAAAAAAATTGAAGAAAGGAATTTAAAAAGATACTAAATGGAAAGACTTGCCATGTTTATGGATCAGCAGAATTAATATTGTGAGAATGGCTATACAATCAAAAGCAATCTACAGATTCAATGTAATCCCCATAAAAATTCCAATGTCACTGGAATATGAAAACAGAAAAATCAATCCTAAAATTCATTGGAAGCATAAAAAATTCTGAATAACTAAAGCAATCCTGAGCAAAAAAGAGCAATGCTGAAGGTATCACAATATGCAACTTCAAATTATACTATAAACCATAGTAAAACAAACAAACAAAAAAAAACCAGATGGTACTGGCATAAAAAACAGACATGAAGACAATGAGAAGACCCTTAAATAAGTCCACACCGCTACCACCATCTGATTTTCAACAAAGGTGTCAAAATTATACATTGGAGAAAAGAGAGCCTCTTCAACAAATGGTGTTGGAAAAAATTGGATATCTACACATAGAAGACTGAGACTAGATTCCCACCTCCCACCCCATACAAAAATCAATTCACAATTGATCAAAGTTCTTAATGTAAAATCTGAAACTTTGAAACTACTATCGGAAAACACTAAAAGATGCGGGTATAGGTAACAATTTTCTGAATAGGACTCCAAAAACTCAGAAAATAAGAGCAAGAATTGACAAATGGAATTGCATCAAATTAAAAAGCTCCTGTATATCAAAAGAAAAAATTACCTGATTGAAGAGATAGCCTGCAGAGTAGGAGAAAGCCTTTGCCAGCTGTTCATTGGACAAAGAATTAGTATCTAGAATATATACAGAACTCAGAAAATTAAACACCAAAAGAATAAACCAATTGATAAATGGGCAAATGCATGGAACAAACAGTTCTCAAAAGAAGTACAAATGGCCAATAAATACATGAAGAAATTTTCAACATCCTTAGTCATAAAGAAAATGAAGATCAAAGTGACAGTGAGATTCCATCTCACCCAGTCAAAGTGGCAACAACAACAATACTGGTAAGGGTGCAGGGGGAAAAGGAACCCCTGTATACTGTTAGTGGGAATGTAAATTAGTTACAGCCACTGTGGAAATCAGAATGGAGGTTCCTTAAGAAACTAAAAATAAAACTACCATATGATCCTGCTTAACCACTCCTGGACATTTATCTGAAGGAATGTAAATCATTATAAAGAAGAGATACTTGCTCACCCATGGTTACAGCAGCACTATTCAAAATAGCTAAGCTATGCAAATAGCCTACAACTAATGGGCATGTATACATATTCAATGGTATACATTGTATACATGTAGTATACATATACAATGGAATAACATTCTACTGTAAGGAATAATTAAATTTTGTCATTTGTAGGAAAATGCATAGAATTGGAGATCATCATCTGGCAAAACAGCCAGATTCAGAAAGACAAATATTGCATGTTTTCTCTTATATGCAGAATCTAGACCTTAAAAAGATGACATGAACGCAAAAAAGGGGAGTGTTGTGGGGGAGAAGCGGTGGAAGAGGGGAGGGCTATAGGAGAAGATGATGGAGATGAATAGGATCAAAGTACTTTATACACATGTATGAAAATCAAATCATGAATCCCATAGAAAATTGTTTTTAAAAGGGAGGAGAAAAAATAATGGGGGGGTAAATTTGATCAAAGTACATTGTCTGCATGTATGAATATAACACAGTGAAACCTTTTGGTAAAATTATACATGGTAATACAAAAGAAAGCTTTCTGTATAAAGAAGGTATGAGTAAACAGACACTGTTTGATATGACAGATTTATCTGGTTAGTGATTTTTTGCAAATGCATAAGTACCTCAAAGTACTTTTATGTTTTAATTAAGAATTTCTATACTGTCATAAGTTTATTTTAATGATATGTCCTTAAACTAAGTAATGAAATTAACTAATGCCTACAAAAGATATTTTACTCACTTTTAGTCATAAGTGTTCTAAGTGGATACAAGTTGTTTTAAAATCATTTTTAACACTGAATAGCCTCTGCAATATTAATCTACCATTTAAAATCTTTATTTTGCTTTTCATAATTGTTCATAATGATTTTTTAATAAAATTGATATTTGTTACAAGTGATCTCTTCTTTCCCAGATCTTAAAGATTCTGCAACTTTTGTGGATGAAAGAGGGAGGCTGAAAGATGAATTCATTCATAAGTCCCTGTATGAGATTGAGCACCCTCTGTCTTCTGCAATCTTGGACTTTCAAAGCAATCAAATATTTGGCTTCTGTAATCATGTGCCATTCATCTGTAGCTATCTTCTTCCTAAAGACGTATGCATGTTACTATTTATCTTAGCAACCAAGACTGGCATTGTATAAATTAGAAATGATTTTCTTGACTGCTTTAACAGTATAGTCCAGTTAACAATGGCTTTATTATATTAACATATTTCCCTTGAGTTAGATATATATTAGTGTTACTTGTTAATCATCATAAAATACATTTGAACAACTTCACACTTATGACACATCATTCTCATCAGAGAATGATGCAGATGACACAATATCAGTATAGTGCTTTTATGAAAAGAACAGTTAGCATTAGATCTGTTCCAACGGCTACAGGGTAGATGATTTTCAGCAAAACTTTGCACCTGAGCCCTAAGCAAAATTGCACAAAATGATTAATCTATACTTCTGACATGCTTTCATCACTCTTTCTTCAGACTTCTTTCATATTTTTTACCTGCTGCACACAAAGGCACAGTGACTTTCTCTTTGACACCTGTGGACTAGTCTTTCCAAAGGCACTGTTGTCTGCCTTTGAGTCCCAATACTATCTACCTACTTGCCTCTCTAAATTCTTCAAACACTTTCTCTCAGAGTAGCTGGTAGTTGACATAGAAATTAAAAAAAGAAAGAAATGGCTCATGGCAAGAAAGATTCAAGAAAAGTGTAGTTGAGGAAACAATATTTGAACTGGACTTTGAAAAATAGATAGACATGGAGGGCTGGGCATAATAGTACACATTTATAATCCTATCTACTCAGGAGGTGGAGACAGTAGAGTCACAATTGGGGCTGGCCCAAGCAAAAGTGTGAGCCCATACTTAAAACAAACTAGGGTGAATTTAATTAAGATATATTATAAGCACTTTTGTAAGTGTCAAAGTGTACCCCTAGTACAATAATACTATGATAATAAAATAAATAAATAAATAAAAAGAAACTAAAGGATAAAGTGCTGAGGGTGTGGCTTAAGTAGGAGAGCCCTTGCTTAGCAAGTGTGAGGCCCTGAGTTCAAACTCCAGTACTGCCAAAAAATAAAATAAAATAAACATGGAAAAATATTGGGTATAACCTGTGGCCCATGCTGATATAGGGAGGTGGGTAGGGACTGGCAAGGATGGGGGGGCAGGGGAGATAAAAGAAAGGATATGCGCAGAGATCAGAAGTAGGAGTACAAGACTTTCCCATGAGGATGTATTAAAATTATTGATGAAAATAAAGATTGTCCATATATTCTGGATTTTTAATGGCAGGCTGACATATAAAGATTTTCCTTAGTTGGCAGAAGCAAACTTTTATTGCAAACAGATGTGACACGTGGTGTAAACACAGGTGCCCAATTTATCCTGTACAGGTTTGTTTCCAAGGACAGTGTTGTTGGATTCGAATCTGACCATATATGCAATGTACATGTGTAAGCCCAAAGTTGCTGCTCACGTGATCTTTCTATAACATGGCCCTTTTCTTTTATTAGCAGCCACACATTGGTGTTTGTGTTCTTAAGCCACACCAAAAAGTGCAAAGCAAACACTATGGACCTGGAATGCTCTCTCTGTCTTCACATGGCTTGTGGCTCCTAACAGTGGCTAAATGTGGGATTCTGTGTGTCCGAGATGTTTTCACTTTGGTAAACTCCTTTTTTGTTGTGTTTTGTTTTTAAAAGCATGGGGTTGTGTATGTTGCTTTCAGATAAGGAACAAAAGCCCTTACAAAAGAAATCAGAACTTTTTCTCAGGTAAATTTGCTCAACTTTTTTATTAATGACACCAACATTTTGAGCGGATGGCTGAATCTCTGAGAGAGGAAACTCCATCCAGTATCTGTAGATACTTGGGTGCCTGGTCAGGCACAGCGTGCTTCCTTTTGCTTACCTCCAGACTAAAGCATATTTGGACAAAAGTGATACTGTTCTATAGGAAAATGTGTGAAACCCTTAGTGATTATTTTTAAGTGAGTGATTTGTAGATTCATCTAGCTGTAATGCACAGTGCAACTGAGAGTGGCCCAATATGGCAAGGCATGAGAGTTATTCTGGGTGATTCTATTACCTATGCTGTAACGCAGAGCACATCACAGATGAGGTTATTCGTGGCAGCACTGTTTGTAAAACAACCTAATTCCCATCAACCAAGAACTGGGTAAATAAATGTAAATAAATGTAAAACAGCCTAATTTCCATCAACAGAGAATTGAGTAAATTCTCAATTTTGTGGTAGGAAATCAGGACATAAATACAACATGGAATATCATAAAGCTGTGACACAGAATGGGGAAATCGCTATGTAATGATATGGAAAGAACCCCAAGATTGTTGAGGGGGAAAACAAGATGCTACAGTTCATTTAAAAATCATATTTGCATGAATTTTTTTACATATGGGTAAAAATGTCTGAAAAGTTATTGATAACACTAGTTACACTGATTGCTTTTGAGGGCAGTATTGGGGCAGGGGATCAGAGAGAGATTTCAAAGCATGCTCTTTGATGGTTTTTGGATTTTGAGCTATTTGAATGTATTACCTACTCAAAAAGGTAGATGAAAAGGTAAAGTGATAGAGAAGTCCAGTGTCTAGTCAAGGAGCTTAAACTGTTGCCCTGTTACCACATTGGTGATGTGCTTTGTTTGGCTTGCTGAATTGATTTAATTGTCATAATCCAAGGAATGTAATCATTCTTCTTCAGTGCTGTCACCCTCTCTCATTATACTACTTTCCCCATAAATGGACCCTGCCTGATTCTTGAAGACCTCGGAATTTTGCTTGCTCAAGGCTCTTTCCCTAAACCCTTAGCCTTCAGCAAGTACATTTACTTCTCTGTCTCATTGCCTATCAAAAATCAATGATAATATTCCCTCTTCTCCCATACCACACAAAATAGTGTCAAATAAGATCAGTATTGATTTGAACTAGGAATTTTAGGTGCTATGTATTACTAAGAGCTGCTTCCACATCAGCTAAAACACTGTCAACAAATAGAAAATGATTTATCCACAAGTAAAAGTACACATAACTCTGTCAGAAAAACCACATGGTAGAATTACATTTGTAATTTCTTCTTTTTGTTCCTAAAACTATTGAGGAAACATTTGCCCAGAGTCGGAGTCACTCTCCCCAGGGGCACGGAATTCAGTCTGTGAGGATGTCAGTGGATGGACAAAACATTCTGGTGAACGGGAAAGATGATGGCGCCCTTGTCTGCCTAAAGTGGAAGTATGTATGACACGCAGTAAGAACCCCATGTGCTATGGTATTTTAAAATACAGATTTTACTAATTTAATACAGCAGGGCCAACATAAAAGGAGATGGCAGCTATTGAAGACAGTCTGTTATACTCACAGATCCAGAGAGGAGAGAGCACACCATGCTATAGGGCCACGTGGGAAGCACCAGGGTGTGTGAGGAGGCTTGGGGAATGGGGGCTACCCCTAGTTGTCAGGGGCTACCTAGTTGACTTGGCCCTGGGGCTGTTAGTGTTACCAGTGTGTGGTCTCAGAAGACAATGGTTGAGAAGATCTCAGGTGCTTACATCTCTCAAACAAAAAACTGGACAGTGACACAGATTGCAAAGCTGGAGCAAAGTTTTATTGAAAGAAAGAAAAGCATAGGCAGAAGGATGCACCACAAGGGTGTGGTGTGCTCTGGCCAGCCGGCTCAAGTGCTGCTCTTTGTCCAGTGGGCAACTTATAAGGTTTAAGGGCAAATCAGGAAAACTCTGGGCTGTTTTTGCAGGAGGGGCTAGGGTAATCAACATGTTTGATTGACAAGGTCTTGTTATATAACATGGGACATTCTGTGCATGTGCTTATGCCAATTCCCAGGTTTTTAATTGTGTGCATGACATACGACCAATATTCATAAGGTCTTAAGTAGAGAGCTTCACCAGAGAGGTCATATTGAGGACAGATTTTCCAGTCTCAACGGGTCAAGAGACTCCCTAGTCTTTTGGGGGGAACTTATAACTGCAGAGGTATGTTTATAACTGTGATTCTGACATAAAATGACCATAAGAGGGGATGTTCAAGGATGGCACTGGGTGGGGACATGGTGGAGTCCAGCATGAGGTGACCCCCTTATTGAAGAGGGTTGAGTCTCCTGGCTTTTGTCTGTTTGGTTTTGGTACCTGTTACTAGCCCACCTCATTAGGGGAGAAAAATAATGGCCCTGAGTATGAGAGCTCCCTGAAGAGATGGCTAGAGGTATGGCTCCTGGATTGGTTGGTTGCAATTACAGGCATGCTCCAGGGAAAGTTGTTACTATCTCCAGATATTGGCTTATCCATGGGCAGGGTGGTTCCCCCACCCACCCCCAGGGCCAGGAAGGCCCCAGATATCAAAGATGAAAGTACAAAACATAAAAAGGCATAAGTAATATGCATGGGCTGCTCACTCCCACATCCCCTAGTGTCTGCTGGAGAACACAAGGAATGAGAACAATGATGAACATTAGATAACTTTAAAAACTCCTATTTGTCCCTAAGAACCATGACATATGTATACGTGTGTGTATGTGTATGTGCACACACATTTATTGTACCAATTGATTTTGCTTCCATGACATTAAATTATTTAGACTCAGTTTGCTTAGACTAAAATTAAGATTCTAAATAAATAAACCTGCAGGTAATGACCCAGGGCTTAGAGAGCGAGAAGGCAACACAAAAGCGCCTGGCCTGTCAATGCTTCCTTGTTTGATCTGCAGCTGGGATCACTTACCAATGTGCAGTTCATTTGGGCTACAATAATATTCCCCAGTTCCCCTATGATTAAAACATAGCCTTTCTTATCACATTGTGAAAATGTTAAATATTAATGAGATTTTGTATTGTAGCAATTTTAGCAGCTATTTATTTCAAAGACTCGCTTGAAGATGGTATCACCTTCCTCCTTTATACATGGAGTCTTGAATAAAATATAAACTAAAAAAGTCCTTTATAGTCCATGAACAAATGGTATCTCAGGGAACAGTAAATAGTTGCATGAGTCCTATTTATAGAAGTAAAGATAATTCCTTTACCTGAATTCGATCGGACTCCAAACAAAGCTGGGACTTCCAAGCTTGTGACGGTAGACATGTGACAACCTCTCTAAGCCATCCATAGTGTTACTCAAGGTGGGGGAAGTCCGAGGTTACTGAAAGCTCTTTAGAATGCATGTTCTGGACCCCATCAGAATGTCTGCAGGTTGGCTCAGCCCTCCCAGTGATGCTATCATGCACCTGAACTTTTAGATTCCCTCATATGTTGCCTGGAAGTAACCCTACATCCCCTATGGGGGAGGGGGGTAGAAATGAGGAAAGGGAGTGAGTTGTGAAGGCTGACTGTGACAATGAGATCATCCATCTGAGGCAGTGTGGTGCCTGGTGTATTCTGGGGGACTCACCTGGAGCAGTGGCTCCTTTGCCTGGTGGCCAAGGAAGTTAGAAGGGCCATGTTGGAGGAGGGCATGGAGACAGCATGAGAAGTCACTCTGGTGAGGGCAAGAGGCTTTGTCCTGGAGTCCATGAAAGGGTTCTCCTCTGAGAAGTGGAGTCCTAAAAATGAGGGGACACTGTAGAGAATTGTCCACATATTTCTTTATGTAGGCATCTAGAAATAATACTGCTAAATGGATTTTATTCTTTTAATTGAGATTTTATACTCTGTGTTTTCTCTTTTATTAATATAGGCAGCTTGGAGGAAACGTGGCCACTGAAATTACTACATATTGCCAGCAACTGTTAATTTCTCTGAGCAGCACCATGAAAAAAGAGAATTACTACTTAAGTACACAAAGAGTTTCCTCAGATTTGGGAGATGAACCTGAACCCACAGTTGAGTTCCAATGTAGCTTGCTTACTTGATTTTTCCTTCTTTGTAAATCACATGGAAGCTTCTAGTTTATAATCTTCTTTAAGCCCATATTTAGTGATATTTCTCTTTATCCAGGTATCTGGTGATTTTTTTCCAATAGAATATATGCTACATCTAAGAGAATATTCAGCCTTGTATGTAAATATTACATACAAGATATTATTTAAACCATCATAAAATATCTGGGCATGCCTGGGGCAGTGAGGGGGGAGTTCTTTCAATACTGGTGCTTCATCACCAGCTCTATGCATGATTTAGGAAGTGTCTACATTGAGAACAGCATTCATTCATTCATTCATTCATTCAACAGATATTCATTCCCAGAAGTCTGGGAGCAGACTTGATATACCCAGGAGTGGGAAAGGAAAAATTTCTGCTTTTACGGTGTTTACATTCTAACTGGGGGTTAGTAGTATGCAGAGAGATAGATAAGTGAAAAAATAAGTAAGACAAGTTCTGTTTTATTCATTGCTGGATAATAGGTTAATGTAATAGTGTTTGCCTGGGTAGCATCTCCCAGGAGTAGACATTTAAGCTGAGATGTGAATTAATAAAATGCAAAGAGATGAGTTGGGATAGGAGGCAAAAGAACCCAGAAAAGAGTGGCAAGGGAGGGGTGACATAGATATGTGAGAGCTACAAAAGGTTTGTGCAGTTAAGTAAGCAAGGAGGAAATGGTAGGAGATAGGAGTCCTCAAAGCAGGAAAGGAAGGAAGGAAGACCATGTAAACAGCTTGGATTTTATTTTGCCCATGATGAGAATCTATCGAAGTGTTCTGAGCAGAGGATTAACAAATGATTATTGCAAATGATCACTTGCTGCTGTGTGGAGAATGTTTTCTGTAGGGGACAGAGTGGAAGCAGGGAGGTTACTCAAGAAGCTGTGGCAGAGGTCCAGGTGAGAGTGATGGGGGGTGGAGGAGAGAAGTGATGGCTTCCAGGTTGGTTTCAGAAGTACAGTTGCTAGAACTCACCAATGGGCTGGACATAGAGGGAGAGGACAAGAAAAGACTCAAGAATGACTCCTGGATTCTTTTCTTTGAACAACTGCATAGAAGCTTGCACCCTGCATGAGGGCACGGGTCACACTGTAGGGAGAAAGAAGATATCTGAAGTCACTTTTATCCATGCAACCTGTGCAACATGCAAATGACAATCCCAAGAAGGCCATTGGATAAATGAGCCTTGAGTACTGGGAAGAGACCAGGCTGGTGATGTGGATTTGAGAGTCAAGGGCATATGAAATGAATTTAAAACTATGAAATGAGGGAAGGTCATGATGGGAAAATGAATGGCAAGAAGCAGAAAGATTAGGAGAGACCAACTTCTAGAAAGTGGGGGAAGAGTACAGGAAAACAGAAGAGGTGAGAGGGGTAGCTAGAAGGTCACAGCGGAGCCAGTAGGGTGTGGTATCCTGGAGTTTTCCCCAACACTGCTGCAAAGAGGAGCATAGGAATGGGGTGGGGGCAACAGGAGAGAGCGGTTTTCCTAAGCTGTTAAGGTTATGTATGAACACTGTTGAGAAAGATCGGGTAGAAGAGAGACGGATGATACGGAGGGAAATGGCATGGGGGCATATAAAGACCTCAAGGTGGAAAAAAAGATTAAGATCCTGAGCACAGACAGCAAAGCAGATCTTGATGGGGAGGGGAGCATGGTGCACAGTAACAGGAAGGAGGCAAGAGTGATTTGATGATGGTGTGACCTGTGTGATCATTTCTGTCTTCTCAACAACTTTCTTAGTCACTAGCCAAGTAGAAGTTAGATTTTTTCTTTTTGGCGGTAGTGGGGTTTGAGCTGAGAGTCTTGCACTTGCTACGTAGGCACTTTACCACTTGAACTAAGTCCCCACCCTATTTTGCTTTGATTAATTTGAGACAGGGTCTCAAGTGTTACCTGGGCCAGCTGGGACTGAGATCCTTCCACTTAAACTTTTTGCATAGCTGGAATTATAGACACAAGCCACCATGCCCAACTTTTTTTATTGTTGTTGTTGAGATGGGGCTCTTCCTAACTCTTTTGCCCAGGTTGGCCTTGAACCTTGATCCTCCCCCAATCTCTGCTTCCTGAGTAGCTGGAATTACAAATGTGAGCCACCATGCCCAGCTAGGTTTTAGCAAGTTATTGCAGTGGTTTGATTTCATGTAATTTTTTATTATCAGTATTTAGAACTTTTTTTATTTCTATGATAAGGACAGACTGGTAGACTGGCAGGAATTAAATTAGTAAACCAGTGCATCTTGGGTAGGCACATGTCTAGTATTATATTTTGGGGGGGGTTGGTGGTTTTTTTGTGGTACTGGGGTTTGAACTCAGGGTCTTGTGCTTACTAGACAGGTACTTTCCCATGTGAGCCATGCCTCCAGCCTTAATATTACTTTTTAAAGGTAACAAATGTAACAGAATTCAATGCAGTTACGTGGAACAAGGTGGGAGGAGGAGCACTTTATAAATTTTTAATATAAGTAATGTCTGTCTCCTTCCAAGATATCTCATAATAAGTCAAGTATTGACTCATCACAAGAGGACTTACTCATAGCTGATAACAAGGAGATTCCCTGGATCCAACAAAAAAGCCAAGAGGTATTTATAGAGTGTGGGACAGGATTGAAATAATGCTTGCTGGAGTGCCATCAGATTTGCTTCCTATGGAACCCTAGTAGAAAGTAGAAGGTTGAATGGGACATTACTTGGCAGTGTATTTTATTATACAAATAGACACTTAATCCTTTAGATTAAGTTACATGAGCTGTAAGATCTTACTTGGGCTAACATGAAATCCAACAAGTGTGTTCAAGAAAGACAAAGCAAAGAATGGGCTATGATGCACCATTTTGGAGTGAGTTTTCGGGGGATGCTTGTCTTAAAGCAAAGAGATAGGCTGGGAACACAAGGAATGCTGTGACTTCAAGTATTATGAAGGTGACATAGGCAGCAGGATGATGGCAGCTCGTCTGAATTCAGCGTAGTGACTTAGTCTCACTGAAGTTCCCAATCAAAAGCACATTGGTTTTCCATTATCTATCATTCACTCTTAAATTTTTCACTACTAGTTTATTTTCTTTCCATTGACTTTACAATTGACATATGTTCCAAGGTGATTTGGTGGTCACTTACAGAGGAGTGAGATTTAATCAAGGTTTCACAGAGACATTATTTCACAGACACTTTATATTACTAGTCACTAGAAGTTTTCATTTCTGTTTCTAGACAAGTATAATCTATTAATCTATTGAAGTATCTGACATCTCTCCCAGTTATTCCTCTTGGTTATTAAGTGATGTTCTTCCTCCATTTCAGGCCATCAAACGGGAAGTTAAACTGTTTTCCCAGAAAAGGAAAGAGATAAAAAAAGGAATCAAAGAACTTATTAAAACTGTAAGTGTTGTGATTCATATGTGAATACAATTGGCCCTCAGTCTAAAATGACTTTTTGAACTCTGTCTTGTTCAGCACAGTGTGAGGAAGCACACCGCTTTTCCCTGTGCCTAAAGGTTGATGTTTCCGGTTACTTCAATAGGGTGAAACTTTCACTATATCCCACTCTATGTTACATAAACAGTGGTTTTCTTCTCTATTTTCCTCCATCTTAATTGGCATTTTAATATGGTATTTTAATAACTATTTTTAATCAAAGTTATGCGTTTATATTTTATAATTTATACTTATAAATTATATTTTATATATATAATTTATATTATATAAATTAATATATAAATTTTATATATTTTACAATACCGAACTGCATAACTTAATGTTTTAAAAGCAGCCCTGCCCTTCTTCTCTTCACTCTGATTCCTATACTCCTAAGGTACCTGTTTTCAACTTTTTCTTTAAGTTTTTTACCTTCATCCTTCTAAACAATCTTTTTTTTTCTTAATATCTGTTTTATTATTTATTATTATTATTATTATTACTATTATTTTGGCCATACTGAGGATTAAACTCAGGGCCTGGCTCTTGCTACATAATTGCTTTATCATTTGAGCCGTGCTCCCTCAAACAGCCTACTTTCAATGGCATGATAATTGAGTTCCCTCTGCTTTAATCCTTATACAAAAAAGGTAACCTGAAGTCACCTGCTGTTAACCTATTACTTATTTTTCTGTTGATAAACGCTCTTCTTAGTAATGCTGCTTCTCTTCTTTTGTTTTTGGGGGTTTTTTTTTAGTGATACTGGAGTTTGAGCCACTCCACCAGCCTCGTTTTTGTTGGGATTTTCTGAGATAGAGTTTTGTGAACTATTTGCCTGGGCTATCCTTGAACCTCCATCCTCTCGAGTAGCTAGGATTACAGGTGTGAGCCAACTAATACTTCTGTTCCTTGATATTTCTGTTTTGACGCTGACGATAGCCTTGCAGATACTATCTGCAAGATGAGTAGGTGAGTTTTTTCACACACACCCCTCCCTCAACATACACATAAATCCATACTTGGTGTGCACGGCGTTATGGTCATGTAGCCTTCAAAGCTGAGCCACGTGGCATATGATGATTGTAGGCCCACTTTTACAACTCTATTTTTCTTGGAATTAATAACTACCTTTGTTTTGGATTAAGTCTTTCTCTGTACCTTCTCAAACGCTCTCAAAATGATAGAGCATTTCTCAAGACAGTCAAATACCCGAGGTAATCAGAGTGTTAGGTTTGTTGTTGTTTGTGACCTTTCTTCTAGAGCTTTCCATTTTCTAGCTCCAGTATGAGCACCTTGCTCTCTAGATCAGGCCCACACTACTGCCCAGGATCTTCTCCCGTCCACCCTGGGAATCCTCTCATCTGCGTCCTAGGTCAGATTCCCTATTTCCTGTGTCCCATGTGTTTTTCTTTCCTTTCCTTGGCCTGCATCTTCCAGTAGCTTCTTTAGCAGGACTGCTGTGGTACCCCCAGGCTTGGGGACACACTGTATAACAAAACTGTGCTATGGGATGCCTTGCAAATGTACTCCAGTGTGGATGGATTGTACTTAGAGATGTACCTTGCTTGTGCTCACTAGGTAGGGCTCTACCACTTAAGCCATGCTGCCAGCCCTTGTTACTTTAGTTATTTTTCAAATAGGTTCTTGCTTTTATGTGGTCCCACCTGGACTGTGATCCTCCTATTTATGCTTCCCATGTAGCTGGGATGGCAGGCACATACCACCACACTTGACCAGCTTTTACTCATCAAGATGGGGTCTTGCAAACTGTTTGCTCAGGGCTGGCCTTAAACTGGCATCTTCCCCATCTTAGCCTTCTGAGATGCTAGGATTACAAGCACCATGCTCAGTGAGACTTGACTTTTCTTAAAATGTCTGCCTTACTTTCATACTCCATTTTGGTTTGCCTACATGTACAGTGCTTTCTCCTCAGACTTTTGAAGGCTGTCCATTGTCTAATGGCTTACAGTGTTCACTTTAGAGAATCTAGTATCTTTCTGATTCCCTATTCATTGTAGGTGACCAGATTTTTACCTCTGGGAGCTTACAGGATCCTTTCTTTCTTTTGTTTTGTTTTTTTTTTTTTTTTCTGACAGTACTGGGATTTGAACTCAAGCCTTGCACTTGTTAGGCAAGTGCTCTGCCACTTGAGCCACCCCTGGGAGCACAGGATTCTCTCTTTATACCTGATTGGAAATGTCTCTATGTGGTTGATGGATAGTCTTGGTTTGCCTCCACCCTGATCCAGCTCTGAGCCTCAAGAAGCCGGACAGTAATAATGAGCACCTTTGCCTTCTGGCTTCTGCTTGAAAAGTGGACAAAGTGGCGGCTGCTGGAGATTGGAGGGGAGAAAACAAAGGTTGGGGTCCTAATTCCCCCTGTATCCTCCCTGTGGATTTATGAGTTGCCAGTGACTGCCACTGACAGCCCCTCCCACTCCCAGTACTCACTCCCCACCCCTGCTCTTGAGATCTAGGAGGCTGCTAGCTTCCCACAGCTGCTTGCCCAGCATGGGTTATCAGGCAACACTGGCTTTCTTTACCCTGCCCAGTCTTTTCAAAAAGTCCCTCTCTTCAGTTATCTCTTTAAAGTGTCATCTGTTTCCTGCCAGGATCATAGTCTTTTTCCTCTTTTGTGTGCTAGACATTGGTGAGCCTTTTTTTTTTAAACAGGAAAACTTTGTCTTTCCATTCAAGGAGATGTTCTTAAATTATTGCTCAGGCAATTTCCTCCCCTTTGATTTTTACTTTTCTTTGTATGAATCAAGCTCAGCACCTTTTTGGAACTCGAAAGGCTGTCTTTCTCCTGTGAGCTCTCTGTTCAAATCCTTTGCCCATTTTGCTATTGGATTGTTGGTCTTTTTCTTCTTGATTGTAAGAGTGCTTTATTTTTATTTCAAATTATATTTATTTATGATAATTTGGATTACCTAGGCCATAATATCAAATAAACTTAAGAAACATAATGGCCTAGGAAGGAGAAGTTTATTTCATTCTCAAGTGACAGTCCTGGGCGGGTGTTCAGGTCATCAGCTGCTCTGTTCCTTTTAGCCACCCAGAGCACCAGGCTGCTGCAGACCCTGTCATTTAAGCACATGGCCCCCCAAGTTGCCTTCCCTGTCACATCCCAGTCAGGTGAGAAGGAAAAAGAACATGGAGTATGCACGGGGAAAATCTAGAGGCAGTTCTTATTATTGGTTGAGCTTCATGAAATTGCTATTTTATGTAGTATAACCTATGACTATTTTCTACAAAAAAAAAAAGTATGATTCAATATACAATAAATGTTTTCTGTCTTACCTCTTAACTTTTTATAATATGCTTTCTTTCAAACACAAAGTCCTAAAATTGTGGCATGGTCCAGTATGATCATTTCCTTTCTAGCATTTGCTTTTTGTGCCTCACTTTAAAAGGCCTTCCACAAGCCAGGCATGGAATGCATGCCTGGAGTTCCAGTTACTTGAGAGGCTGAAACAGGAAGATCACTTGAGCCAAGGTGTTCAAGACCAGCCCTAGTAACATAATTGAGATCCAGTCTAAAAAACAAAAAATAGAGCCTCCCAGAGTCTCATATCATTTCTTCTAATACTCCGTTAATTTACTTTTGTGACTGCTATGAGGTATGGATCTAATTTAATTTTTTCAAATATATAGCTCATTTTCTTGGTGCTTATTAATTGAGTGTAATATGCTTTTTCCACTGATGTGCAGAGCTTCCACTGCAAATCCAGAATCATCTCTGAATTCTCTAATCTGAGATTGAGTATTGGTCTTTTCCTTAACCAATACCAAACTATTTTAAATGATTGTATCTTTTTAATATATCTTTGTATCTAAAGAGCAATTCTCTCTTTGATCTTCTCCCTTTTTGCACACAGAAAATTTGGCGTTTTTGTGAACACTTGCTTTTCCATTTAAATTTTAAAGTCAGCTTGTAGGGCTTGTTGTGGTTGCACACACCTGTATTCCCAGTTACTTGGGAGACAGAGATAAAGAGGATTGTAGTTTGAGGCCACCCAGAACAAAAGAGTTTGTGAGATTCAACTTCAACAAACAAGCTGGGTGTGGTAGTTCACAGCTGTAATCCCAGCTACATGGGAGGCATAGGTAGAAGGATCACATCCAGGCTGGCCCCAGGCAAAAACATAAGACTTTATCCGAAAAATAACTAAAGCAAAAAAGATCTAGGAGTGTGGCTCAGGTGGTGGAGTACCTGTCTGGCAAGTATGAGGCCTTGAGTTCAAACCCCAGTACCACCAAAAAAGTAAATAAATAAATGAGCTTGTGAAGAGCATACACGCTTTTGCTACTAAATTAATGAGTTTTTAAGGATCAAACATTAAAACTTCAATAACTACAAAAAGCCTACAACCTAATTCTTTACTCACTAGTATACTTAGATAAATAGATTATCTTTTTATTGATTCCTCTCTGAAGAAAGATTAAGAAAGCTATTGCTTTAAAGTTTCTTATCGTTATCTATTATTATCCTTTCTTATTTCAAATGCAGATTATGAATATGATGGAAGAAAATGAGAAAGTGGATCCTATTGCAAAATTAGAACAAGAGGAATTTGGCCTGGATCTTGAGGAACTGGAGAAGCTTCACGAAGAAAGTGAAGAGGAGGTGGCAAAGGTATGGAAGCAGTTGGTGTGAACTCTATAAGTTACAACGAAAGACTTCAAACCGATGCAGAGAAAATCTCTTCCCACGTTAGTTTCTTTCACACTGTTTATTTTTCTGGACCTCTGGGCTTTGAAGAGATATCAGCCTGGACTTGCCATGACAGTGACCCAGAAGAGAACTGCTAGCAGATGACTGCATAAACCCAGCTGGCTTTCAGCAACCATGAGGGAGGACACTAGTCCCTGAGAAGAGTTTAGTGGCACTTACCAGTCAGGGGTCCAATGCTATTAGCCAGCCAGGATCCCAACAATAGGGAAAGGACTAAAGTCTAATAATGGCCATCTGGATATGATGCTGGGGATTGAATCTGAGTTGCTGATGGAAAAGCCTCAGCAGTGGAGTGAGGCTGAGTGGGGTAGGACTCAGGTAGGTTCTGACAACTGGTAAACCAGAACAGCTGTATTAGCCATTAACTCAAGGAATTAGAGCATACAAAAGAAAGTAAAATGCAAATTAAACAAAGTCACTGATCAGACAATGCATAAGATAAAACTAAAAGACAATTTTGGGCTGGTGAAGTGGCTCAAGTGGTAGAGTATCTGCCTAGCAAACACAAGGCACTGAGTTCAAACTCCAGTACCACCACCACAAAAAAAAAAAGAGTTTAAAATCTGGGAGATAGTATTCTTAACTAGTTTGCTAATAATTCTGCCAATAAGGTGTAAGCCAAAAAAGGTTCTGAGGATCCTGAGGACGAAGGACTGTTGGGCTTCACTTTGCCTTTTGGCAAACTCTATTAACATAGGAATATTTAATACTTTTATATTAAGTAATATAAGAAGATAAAATGGAAATAACACATATGTTTCTAAAGAAAAATGTAAATTGTCTGGGGCATTCTTTTTATTGTGGACATAAATAATAGGGGAATTAGCTACAGTGAAGACACCCAGACAGAGGTCACAAACTGGCATTTCTACAAGTGTTGACAAGAAGTCTGAGTGTCAAGTTTCTCTGATAAGATAGGAAGACGTGGTTCTGCTTCCCTGCTGTCCTAACCAGCCAGTTCTGTGTATATCAGGTCATCCCACTCACCACTTCGAGTTATCTGTCCTCACAGCCCCCTTAGCTCACAGTTGTGACCCGACCACCCTTAGAAGTGTTTGTGTTGACACCCCAGTCTTCAAGGCAGGGAACCAAGCCTATAGATAGGCATAAGCTTTAGGGAAAGTTCTCGAAGGCAGGGCTATGTGCCTGAGATGTATATCACAGTACAGGGCAGCTCACATTCTCGGGGGAAAATAGTCAAACTCGCCCAGTAAGTGTGCAGCTAGGACTAGCCAGAGAGTGTGTGGAGATGATGCTTCCTAAGAGAACACGTGTCCACTTTTATCTTTTCCTGCATCTATGCACTTTAAGATAAGGAAGGATGTGGAGATGCACAACCTAGCCAAGAGTTATTTGACTGAGCTCATCAAAGAAGAGTGCTGGAATTCCATGGCTGTGAAAGGTCGAGCTCTAAAGGTAACCCTAAAAACCTTGACTGGTGAGAATTTTCCTTGGAAGTCTCATAGCATAAAAATTTTAACAAGTTTTTAAAGAAAATCTACATGTAGAGAAGTATTGAAAGCATGCCTTGCTTCTTCACTGAATTCCACCTAGATATGTAATTTTCTCTTACTTTGTTCTTCCTCCACTTAGTTTCCATGCACTTCCAAGCCAGCATCTCTTCAGATTGGTCTTAGCACCTCTTTCCTTCTGTCCTCTGTGTTGTTCCCTGTGTCTGGGTCTTAATATCTGTCTCCTCTAAAAGGCTGCCACACAGATTAGAAGGTAGACAGAGTATTGTTCACATTTGTACTTCTGTCTGTCTTCACATTTTCTGAAGAACTGTTTTTATTTCTCTTTTATAGAGTGACCAAAAGTCTTGGTTTATGTCAGTGGCCCTCAAGTAACTATTAAAAGCATCTTTTCCGCTGATTAAATAGTGAAGCATGTAGTTACCCTATATCTACATGATTGAGTATTGCTCTAGAACAGGGTTTCTCAAGAGTGGCACATTTTGGGCTGAATAATTCTTTGTTGTAGGACAGTTAGCAATATCCCTGACCTCTGTTTACTAGACTGTAGCATCCTGCAAGCCCAAAAATAACAAAGTAACACTTTTTAAAAGTGTCCAGGCATTGGCAGATGTCTGGGAGTAAGGAGGAAGTTGGGCAGAATTGCTCTGAGTTGACAACCCTGCTGTAGAAATAAAATTCTTCACAAAAGCACAGTATTTTATACAAAGGTTATACCAATACTAATGCATACATTATTTGAGTTTGAAGATTTCCATTGTCAACTTCATTCATGGTATAATAACCTCTAAGTTAATTTTAATCAGAGAAAACATCCCCCACACCCCCCCCCATACACACAATTGAACTAAAAAATGATTTCATCTTGGTTTCCTCCCCCCAAGTGCTTTCACATCCCCTACGTTGTGGAGAACTTCCCAATGAAAGAACGCACAGCTGAAGAGATGGAGGAACTGCAGAGAGTTTTGCAGCAAAAGAAGATTGAAATAGAGTGTCTGAAAGTACAACTTTGAATATATGTGTGTGTGTGTGTGTGTGTGTGTGTGTGTTTATATAAATAATAAGATTTATTTTAGGGTCCCCTTCATACAGATTTGAGTTGGGATACAATCTTAGGTAAATTCACGTATTGTTTAATTTATTTCTTGCTAATTTGTAGAATATATTCTAATGAATATAAGATCCTATATCCATACACTAAATCAAGGAGTCCATATCCTACACAACACTGGCTAGCCTTCAAATAAGAGGATGTGCTTTTAAAAAAAAAAAAGAGAGAGAGTTTTGAGGTTTTTGCAGTGCTAGAAGTTGAATGCAAGACTTCATGAATGCTAGGCAAGCACTGTACTACTGAACTACCTCCAGCCATTGGGGTTTTGTTCTTATCCTGCTCAGAGATTGTCCTTATCCACACACACACACACACACCCTTTGTGTCCTCACTTGCCACCACGGATTGTGATTGTGTTTTAAGATCATTGACCAAAGATGAAGTAGAGTCTATTTTGATAGAATTGTGGTTTTCCTAAAGTAATCCCAGCTTCTTTTTTTTTTTTTGCAACAATCTCTGTCAAAGCAGTCAAACAAACCACAAAAAACAACTGGCCCTTTGCTGTAGCATTGTTTTGGCCAGATCTTTGCATTTCTAAAACAAAATGAAAGCATACTTAACTCAACCTACATCCTCTAGTCCCTTTGTGAAATACTAAGTTTTTTTCAAAAATGTACTCAAAATATTTACAAGCATATATCAGCCTGGCCCCAAAATACAAATATTGTGTACTATCAAGAGCCATTTTCAACCGGGCACCGATGGCTCACACCTGTAATCCTAGCTACTGAGGAGGCAAATAAGTTCGCAAGACCCTATCTTGAAAATACCTAACACAAAAAGGGCTGGTGAAGTGGCTCAAGGTGTAGGCCCTGAGTTAAAGCCCCAGTACTACAAAAAAAAAAAAAAAAAAGCCATTTTCATTATTTTTATTTGTTTACACTTTATTACTTTCCAAGCTTTAATCTCCTTATCAGGACCTACCTATCACTTTGAATGAAGTGTTTGCAAGATGATTTAACCTCTAAAATGGTTGTTGAAATAAGGATTTGGAGAACCCTTATTATTGCATAACTTCCATGTCATCGTCTTCTGTTCATAGCTACGGAAGGAAATCACAGAGGTTCAGTCTGCAGCAGCTCTGGTTAAAGAGCATCATGAAGAGGAAGATGAAGAGGAAGAGGAAGATATGACAGTAGAAGACACCAGCTTACCCAATTACCTGCTTGGTAGTCTCAGTACTGATTTTGGGGTAGATACCTCTTTTTTGTCAAGCCAATTGGAACTTCATTCCAGAGAGGAGAAAATCAACCAAATTATATTACTGAAAGTGGGTGAATCTTCTCTTTATTCTTGAAAATCTCTGACACTCCCCATTAGGGGTCTTTCACAGGCTCACATTGAAACCCAGTGCCAATCAAATGATGTTTTTTCAATACATAGAGAAATTTAAGATGACCAGCATCCACGTCCTACACGATGTACAAGACTTGCTTCCATCCACTTAAACTGCATTCTGTGTTACCAAGTTTTCTAAGGGAGATTCTACACTTTCTGACACCACAGACCATTCTTTTGCTTACATCTTTAGTCAACTCTAAGAAACCTTGAATTCCATCTTCCCAGTAACCCAGGGATCACTTAGGATTTCCTTATAAGCTCAAGATATTGTTGCTTCTCTATCTACTTAACCTGGGGAAATACAACTTCTTCGCTTAAGATTGCTATAAATTCTGGGGTTTGGGAATAAAGCAAGAGGTTCCTCTGGCTCTAAACTCCTAATCCTTGCTTTCCACCAAACAAGTCAGTCTCAGAACACATCTATAATGCAGAAAAACCCTACTAAAGGTTTCTGAAAATCCAGTGGCTGAGATTATAGATAGTTTGAAATTTAATACTAGCTATTCCTGTTCTTGAAAGTCCTTCTGCCACATCTGCAATTCATGTTCTAGCTTCTGTGTTACTCAGCTTTCACCTCCTGTCTTTTCCTTCCTCTCCAACTCTTGGAATTCCTATTCATTAATATGCAGAACTATACTTAGCTTTTGTCGGCTTCTGCTAACCCAGGCCCCAGAGGCTCTCCTTCTTGCTACTTTATTAAGGTGTTCTCCTATAAGGAGGTAATTTCAAGGGAAATTCTGGTGCTAGGTGTCACGATTATTTTTCCACCTTACTTAATGGTCTCATCTTCAGTAGGGTAAGTGTATAGACTGAACTCTGATGGTAACATAAAGACTACTTTGAAACAGCCATTAGCAAATGAGTTGAATGAGGCAATCCACTTGGACCATAGGTATTGGCTACTCAGCTGGTTCTCCTACCTAAGGATCGCCTGACCCTGTAGAGGAAGAATATTGTGTTGGTGGTGCTTTTCTGAAAGAGACTCCAAATACCATTTATTATAGGCCATTTCTTCCTTTCCACATTACCTCCAACAACGTTGCAAAGAGATGCTTCCCAAATTAAGTCCTATATGTTGCTGGGAATTGAACCCACAGCTTCATTCATACAAGGAAAGCACTCTAATACTTGAGTCTTACTCCAGTCCTTTTGATTATATTTTGTTTTTAAAATAGCATCTTACTAACTTCTCCTGGGCTAACCTTGAACTGAAAATCCTCCTGCCTCTGCCTCCTGAGTAGCTGGGATTACCACCATACTGTACCACCACAACTGATTTCTTTATATTTTTAAACACACACACACACACACACACACACACACACACACACACAGCAGTATTGGGGTTTGAACTCAAGGCCTTGCCCTTACTATGTTAGCACCCTTATCATTTGAGCCATGCCTCCTTAAATATTTTATGATGAATTTCTTTTTAGAACACGCACAGAAGTAGAGAGAATTGCTCAATGAGCCTCCAAGTACCCATCACCTATTTCAACATTTATCACCAGACCTGCATGTTGAATTATAACTCACTCTCAGGAAGTAAGCTACAGTGTAACAGTTATCCTCTTGCCTTAATCACACCCGCTGTTGGATGCCACTGTAGATTATTGAGCCCAGAAATGACTCAATACATACATTAACACAAGAAGATTAGTTTTACTTTCTTTAAAGATAATTTCTGGGATGATCATGGAGGGAAGGTATAACTTTGGGATCAAGTTGCCAATAAAGATGTGATGGCATGTTTTCCATTTTTATTTCAGGATATCATTTACAAGGTTAAGACTGTTTTCAATGGTGAGTTTAATGCTGCATTTAAGCAAAAAGAGTTTGAAATTATACGTGTGAAGGAAAGAAATGTTAGACTTAGGGAAATTATTTTAGATCTGGAATTGGAAGAAACAATCTGGCAACCAGAATTTGAGGACTGTGAGAAGCCGGAGAGAACCCTTGTTGTGGAAGATCATGAGGTACTGGCTAGCATGTCACCCTTTCCCTCTTTGTCAGATTTCCCCAGCTACTGTTTGCTCGTCTTGTTTATACTACAGGAAGTATATTAGTGCTCTCGGTTCCTGGTAATGAAAGCAGGTGATACTGCCCCAGCAAGAGTGAGCTTGTCTTTTATAAATCCCACACAGTACAGGGAAGAATTGGACATTGAACCGAGGAAGAAGCAGGAACCAAAGGGCAGTCAGTCCCAAAGCCCTCTTTCTTCCTCTCTTAGCTCATTTCTCTGTATATTTCAGTTTCCTCTGGCAATCTCTACTTTGTGTCTCCTCCACTCAAGAGCAGCTGGTTGAATGAGAATCTTAGTCCCTATTCCAAGTTTGCCTGGGAAGGGGCTGCTTGGTCCAGCTTGGATCAGCAGCTGTACCCAGGGTGAGTGGGGCCATGCTGTGGAATGAGGCCAGTGGAGTTCCAGTAATTATCTAGGTTATTGGGACAATACAGACCCCAAGGAAAGAGAACTTGCTGGACAGCCTTCAGAGTATTAGCACAGAGAAACGCAGCTACAAAAAGCAAAGGCTTGAAGAAAACAAAACATGACCATATTTTGGGGGGGGGGCGGTTAATGAAAAAAAAAAAAGCTAGAGACTGCTCAAAAACTCCTGCTCAAGCGAAACCAACTTAATCTCCTTGGGGCAAAAGACAATAATGGTGTTTAGAAGTAAGCAAAATCTTTATAGTGCCTGTCAGAAGTCAGGCACCATTCTAAATGCCCTAGGTAGACTGGAATGATTTACAATTATACAACCTTATAAGGTAGGTAACAACATTACCTCCATTTTCTTTCTTTTTTTTTTTAACCTCCATTTTCTAGATGAGGAAAGTGAGGCAAGAGAGGTTAAGGAGCTTGATCACAGTTGCTTAGCTAGTAAGTAACAGAGTCGAGATCTGAACACTGTGCAAAACATCTCACCCTGTGCACTCCACTGTGCTGGTTTAAGCAAGCCATTGTTTCTGACCTCTTGCTATGTAACCGGAGACGAGAAGTGAAGCAAATTGAGGCCCAAGATCTAGTCCACCGCTCAGGTATTTACTAATCCCCACACCTGAGACTAGAGTCCTTGGACTCTAATGCATTTAACCCCAGGAGGATGAAGTCTTCCCACGCCAAACTTCTGACGTCCCTGCTCTGTTTACCCCTGCAGCTGCTTACTCAGGCCACTTGGGGTAAAGCCTTCCTCACTGCCCACCCTCACTCACCTTCTTTTGCCCAGCTGCTTATCCTTTGTTCTGGCTACATTTTTCTGCTCATGGTTCCTTGAATGCACCAAGCTCTTGACCTATTAAGAGTCCCAAGCCCCATTCTTCTGGATTTGGCTTAGGTGACACTTCTTTGAGCTTCTGTCCCTTGCCCCTAAATCTAAATCAAATCCCCTGTCATAATCTCTTTAGTGATGGAGACAAGATTTGAGAGCTAACAGAAGTAAGGATCTATTTTCCCAACACTCTCATTTTAGACTTCAGCTTCATTCCAAACTAGGAAATTGGTTGCAAAATCTAGATTTCTCTTTAATTTCCTTAATACCATTTAATCTCCTCCCCATTCATGGAAGGAACTTTGGCTTGAATTTTGCAAGATAAACAGCAGGAAACTGTGTTTTCTCTTTCAGATTTCATCCCAAAAACATGGTAAGCTGTGGCAAAAAGCCAAAACAGAATCGGACATGCTTCATGAGACTGATCAGTGGCTTCAGGCACGGGTATGTGCTTTTGCTGGAACAGTACCTAAGACCTGTCCTTTAGGGACGCTTGTTTCCCATCATAGGAACACCTCAGACATTTGTCATGATCCAGAGGTTACTCAGACCTCAGCTGCTTCCTCCTGTTCTCTCTTCCATGCTACTGCTATCTTCCCACCTAAACACAGCGATTCTAACATCAGGCAGGAGGCTGCCCTGCTGTCAGATGTCACAGCTGCCCTCTCTAATCCCACTCTTTCCCAGAGCTCTGACTCAAGAAACAGAGGCCTGATGGACATGATGGGAGGTGTTCTGGAAGTCAAGAAGGAAGACATTTTGAGAATGGTGAGATTTCTGGCCATCCTGTAGAAGGTGCAATAGGGTAGGAAGAACTACGTACAATCTACCATTTTTTGTCCTGTGAACCCATTTTAGAAATTCTACAACCACAAGTATTATTAGATAACCACCTTGTTCCTCAGTAGTCAAATAGGAAGAAATTTGCCTTCCATTCTATAAAAAGCAAACAAACACAAACAAGCTGCCAAGATGGTTTTGGTCTCTACTGAAGGCAGGGATATGGCTTCACCTATAATTGTCCAGATTTACCAAGGACTGTGTTCTCCAACACTTGACACAGGTGTTCCTGGGATGCAGGTGTAGCTCTAGCTGTAAAAATACCAACACACACCAGAGTGTCACCTAAGAGTCTGGGCACATCCCAAACTGCTCACCATCACTGAAGTCACAGAAAAGCAGTTGTAACGTTTTTCTATATCCTAGGGTTAAAATGTCAGGTCATCGTCTTTGGCTCTGAGGTGTTTTTACAGCTGTGAGCTTTTACTGTATTGCAAAATCTATGTCTAAATCACAGCAAATGCTTTCTCTTTGTATGTCCAGGTGATTCCTCAACCTTCTTTCATGGTAAAACCTGACACCTTGTGGACCGAAGAGGAAAGGAAGCAATTCAAAGATTATGAGAAAAAAGTCAAGGAGTTAAATGAAGAAAGAGATAAGTACAGAAAGGTCAGAAAGCAAAAATCAATATAACCATCCAGGACTTTGTATCAATATCTTTTCAAAATTTTTTTCTAATGTCTTTAATAGCTTAATGATAGTGTTCCAGTTTAAATTCTCAAGAGAATTTAGAGAAGTAGGGGGAGATAAATTTAAAGAGTTGGACATTTTGAAACAAAAGAACATCTAACAGCGGTTTTTAAGCGCTCTTACTGATTTCAACACTGCCCACATTGTTTGATGGACACCTATTATAGCTTGTGCAAGTCACTGCAAGGGATTGCTGCACCTTGGCTACTGCTCTTTGAGTTCAGTAATACTTTTGCTTGATTTGTTCTCAATCTCAAGAAAAGGATTTCAGAAAAGAACTATGCAATCAGCACAGCCCATGCTTCATAGTACCTATTTCAGGTTTTTGCAATGCAATTCTATTGTTCACATCCTTCCATTGAAAAGAAACATTCCCACATTAAAATTGCTTACAATTATCATGGAGATTTAAAAATTTATGGTAGCCAGGCATGGTGGTGCATGCCTGGAATCCCTGCATTCCAGAGGTGGGGGCAGGAGCATCTCCAGTGCAAGATGGGCTTGGGCTACAACGTGAGAGCATGTCTCTCAAAAAAAAAAAAGTTGATGGTATACAACCAAGTAAGTAACATTTATTCTTTTCGGAAAGAAGTAAAATCAAGCTATCACTTAAGACAGGACAGCTTGCAGCTTTATTGTGGCTGTATCTCATGAACGACTTCTTTATTGTTGACCTTTTCATATTTATTCACTGCTTTCCTTTCTTGCATTTTAACCTAAAATAGTTCTTTCCTAAAAGCTAAAATCAGTAATGGTGGAAGAAGTTAAAATTTCAAGGAGTTAGGGATGATAAAAGGAGTAAAGGATAATGATCATTAATTTCATTCACTCACACTTCTGTATTGCAAGTTTCCTGCCTATACCCTCAGCATCCAGCTCCTCTATGGTAGTCCTCTGGTGAAATCTCAGCCTTGGTTAAATTCGGTATTCTGCCTTTTCTGCTTCTGAATTCATGCAGAGGATAATGAAAAAAGTACTCATAGTTTCTCCCCAAAGTGAATGACCTTAGTCTCAATTCAGTCATTAATGCCATTCAGCAATGTCATTCTATTTTCCCCCAGCCTGGTGCTCTCGCACTGGAATGTGAATCCACATCACCTGGGGATCTTGTTTTAAAAATACAGAACCAGATTCTACTGCTGGTGTTCTGGAATGGAAGGACCCTGAGATGCTGTACTTTAACAAGCTCCCGGTAGTACCATTACTGCTGGCTAGAGGACCACAGGATCCTGGAGCAGCAGGATTATAGAGAACCATTTCACACCTGCTCCTTTGTCCTCAAACTTTCAACACCTGAGCCCCTCAACTCACTCTCACCTTATTTTCTATTTCACTGGGAGAAGAAAAGTAATGAGAAAAGGTTTTCCTTAACCTTCTACCACCACACTGAATCCATGAAGTCTCAGTGCCTTTCTGCTTGTTATGGATGGAATGACCTTGCATCCACTCAGGATTGCTCCTCCCCTTGTGCACTAGCCACTATCCCATCTTATCTGCTCAATGCCATTACTTATCAGTTTGCCCCTCTTCTACATCATTTTTTTCTTTCTGTGTTGGATTTTTCCCATAAGAATAGACACGTGCTATCATCCAATACCTCTTATAAAATGTACACATTGTATGTATTTCTCATTTTACCAAGAAATACTTCTTTAAAGGGTATACTAGATTTTTTTTCTCCTATTTTTGTGGCTTTTGGGTTAGACTGATTTTGTTTTTAAAAAAAAAAAAACTCAGTGTCCCTATTCCCACTTTTATTCTCAGTGTCTCTGTGCCCCTTCAGAGCAAAATGCAAAAAAAAAAAAAAAATCTATATTCTGTCTCCAACTTCTCTGTCCTTTTTTTTTCAATTTCTCTGTTCTTAATTAAAAATTTTTATTATGAAATGTCTAACATACATAAAAGTAGAGAGAATAATGGACCCCTTGTCCAGCTTCAGCAATTATGTTCATGTGGCCAATGTTTCATTTTATACCTCCATTCTTCTTCCCTAACACAGGATTACTTTTTTAAAAATATAAAAATATATAATATGAAAAATATAAAAATCCCATGAAAAGGTATCTAGAGCCTGGAAAGATTTCTTGTTTAGGACTAAATTATTTCTAGAAATTGCTATCTTATAGAGAGTCAGAATTTTCTGAGAAGACTTGCAATAGTTTGTTCTATTCAACTTACTTCTGGCTGCATCATTAGCCATGACTAGTGATTTTCAACTTTTTTGTTTTTTACAGTATAATCTTTTTAAAGAAAAAAAAGCCCAGACCCACTGTATCTTAAACAGATCCAAAAGAAGCATCTCTGGCTAAAGGGGTTCAGGGCCCATCATGGCCTCAACAAGGTCCACCTTCCTTCTGCTCCTCCCATGTGGCAAAATGCAAATACCATTTCCAGCAAGTATTTAACATTCTATTCTTTTCCTTTCAGTCCTTGGAAGCAGAATTGAAGAAACTTCAAAACTCTATTCAGGAAAGCACACAGAACTTTGATGACCATCTGAAGAGACTCTTTGAAAGAAGAGTGAAGGCAGAGATGGTTGTCAACCAGGTAAACAAAAGCTTCACTTCTGTGACTTTCCTTTTAAGGAACCTTCATGGGCCTTCTACTGTTCTTAGAAAATTCACCAACACCTTTACCTGGGGCCACGGACCTTCATGTCTGTCGCTGGGTTCCTCTCCAGCCTCTTGTTATGGACCTCCCCTTCACTTGCCACACTTCTGGTGTCCTGATACATGGGTGCACTGGGGAGAAGGAGGAGGCTCCAAGAAGTGCAGGGGAAGTGGGAATTGGCTGCCACAGGATTTCTTTTTAGAGTGATAAAATGTTCTCAGATTGATGGTGGTGATGATTATGCAACTGTGCATACACCCCAAACTAGTGAATTACACACTCTAAATGGCACATTGTGTAGGATGTGAAATATGCCTCAATAAAGATGCTATTAAAAAAAAAACCAGATATGCTTAGAACATCTTATTCACAATAATGAAGAAACTATCAGAACACTAGGTATTATCCAGAGAACTCAGGAGCCACCATTATAGATCTTCTCTAAATCAGACCATTTAAGATTCAAGGATAATAATAATTGCAGTTAACTGAAACACATCAACTTTATTGAAATCTAGCCGGTGCTGGTAGCTCACGTCTATAATCCTAGCTACTGAGGAGGAAGAGATCGGGAAGATCATGGCTCAAAGCCAGTCCAGGAAAATAGTTCTCAAGATGCTATCTCAAAAAAACCCTTCACAAAAAAGGGATGGTGGAGTGGCTCAAGATGTAGGCCCTGAGTTCAATCCCCAGTCTGAAAAATAATTATTGAAATCTGTGAATTGGTGATATATTTTTAAAAGAAAAGTGCCAATCAGTCACTTTCAAAGTATGACAAGCAATTCATTATCTAAAAACTAATAAATGTAAAGTTTCCAGTACTTATTCTTTTTCCTATGAGCCATACCACTAGGCAAACATATAGTAGATAAGTAGGAGCATCTCTTTATAAAAGTTATTTCAATTAATAAGTGAAAAGGGGAAGTAGAAACAAATACTACCATTTTGCAACTCTTGGTGGACTTATGGACCTGAGCTTTGATCATCTACAGCTGCAACCATCACAGAAAGACAACCAGATATTGTGTATGTCCCAATCAAAGAACACAATGTCACCTATGGGCCTGCCAAAAGAATCAAACCTAGGTCTGTGGAGGCCTCAGATTCAGCTGCCAATTTTCAGGAAAATTCAGGACCAAGAAGTCTGATGAGCTGTACCATGAGTACACAGTTGATGAAATGTGAAACAATGCAGACTACTGATTACTGCAAAAGAACTGTGAGGGTAAAAAAGGAACAGAAGGGGACATGAAGATTATAAGGGATTTAGAAATTTAACAGACAAGTTATGCTGTCATGTTTAGGTATACACACTTGGATAGAACAACAGAGAAACACATGAAGTATATATGTTTTACGTTACAATAAAATGATGAAAAAGGTAAAATAATCAAATAATCATTGCAATAGTCTCTAATTGCCTTTTCTTTAAAACAATGCTCTTAGTTGTATGTCATAAACTTGTTGGATTAGAGCCAAGTCTCTGACCATTGATAGAAAGTTCTTTCTTAGATAGGAGAATTGATCCCTCTTCCCTTCTTTTTTTTAAATATTTCCACAGGAGGAATTGAAAATAAATAACCTTCTCTTTTCTTTACTATTGGATGAAGAATTAAGCTCCAGAGAATTATTCCTGAACAACTACCGTTCAAGGAAGCAGGAGGAGAAAGTAAGTATGGTGCCTGGTATCTGAGTGCCAGGATTTTCTGACAGCCATACTCCTTGGTTAGCAAGAGCCTCCACTTCTAAGCCCTTCCTTCCTTCCTTCCTTCTCCTGTTCCTAATTGGCCATGTGTGTCCCTTGGTTTCCTATTTGTGACTTTGCTACAGTTCCAGATCAAAGTACTCATTCCAATCTGTTAATAAAGTTACATGATTCTGTGTCTGCAATCATTTAGTCTGTGTAGCTTTGGTATGATGTGTGGCTTATAAAATGAGAGGACATTAGCTTCATGGTTGATCTTGAGCAAGGCACATAACCTCTTAAGCTGCTTGCAAGCCATTCTTTAGGGAATACTGTTCTCTCTGGACCATTTGGCACTCATAAGTTTTACTAAACAAGGAAGCAATGAGTTAGCTTATAGAATGAAAAACTGTCAGACTGGAGGTGTGGTTCAAGTGGTAGAGCGCCTGGTTTGCAAGCATGAAGCCATGAGTTCAAACTCCAGTCGCACCAAAAAAAAAAAAAAAAAAACTCCTGAGTATCTGGGACTCCAGGTGTGTGCCTTGACTCCTTAACTCCCAGCTCCACCCCTGCCTTTGTATAGAATGAAAAACTGTCATTCTGAAAAGTATAAATAGATATGATTCATTAAAGAGAAAATGAATACAAAATGCATATTACATAATAAGTTTTACTTATTACACAAGTGTCACCTTTTATTAATAAAATTAATAAAGGATATTTACAAATGCATACTATTGTGTCATAAAAGATATGTGCTTTAAGAGTCTATAAATAGCATATGCAAAGAGCTTTCTAAATATATCCCTCCTCACAACAATCCCTCAGGGTAAATAACATGACCACTGGGATATAATAGAACTGTGGAAACAGAGAAGACCACCCAACTAAGAATAAGCAGAGGCGGCTGTTTAGAGCTTGGCAAAGCAAGGGAAGTGGCAGCCAGGACTTGTGTTTGGTTAGCATAATCTTGAAGAGAGACAAAATAGTGGGAAAGCTTGACAGTTAAAAGAAGGGAGGGCTCAGGGACATCCTGATGCATAAGCAAACCAGTTAGAAGCAGGGCAACCTGTTAATTTCAGGAATATCCTTCTCCAGATGATCCTAAATTGGAAGTGGGAGAAAAGATTAATGAGACAGGCAATTGCTGACCAAGTACTGACACTTTAGGGGCAGTTGCTACAAAAGTGGTGGTTTAGCTTTCCAGCAGGCTGCTGCAGAGATTATGAGACAGAATTCTATGTTTTTACAGTATGACTATTGTCCAGATGCGTACTTAGTCTCGGGTCTTTGATGCCCAAGCCTGTGCATTTCCCTCATCCACACTGTCCTCCAATGCAGCGTGCTTCATACATATTGACACACTCACATTCAAGCTGGCTTTCCTTACTAACAAGGATTGAATGTTTGTCTTTCTAAGTCTCCAATTGGTTTATTTTCTTCTACAAATGTTATTTGTATGGACCCTTCACAGACACATTTATCATATACTAGGAAATACCTTGTTCTTTTTAGAACCCCCTATATTTTTGTTTATCCAGTTAAATTAACTATTCCTGCTGTCATTATAGAACCAGACAACAGAAGCCATCCGGAAGGCTAGAGAAGACCTCGATGTATACAAGGAGCAGTATGACAATTTACTAGCAGAAGACAAAGTGAGAGTTGCCATCTCACCCACTTGACAGTGCAGTAGAATTGTTGCTCCTGGGCTTCTCTTGGGGGAAGGGTGAATGGGTTATAACTTAATTCCTTCCTAGATTCTTTCTCCTACTATAATTCTCAGAGTGAACTTCATTCTATGTCCTTTATTTCTGAAATTCTGTGTGCAAAAGGAATTTTTGCACTCTTCTCTGGTTTAAGCTTTCTCTTGTGCAAAAAAAAAAAAAAACACTAAGGAGAACATCAAGTCTTTAAGGGCTTTACAAGTTCAGTTTGCAGACCCATGAGTTGGTCATGAAATCCACTTAGTAGGTATGAGCAGTGGTTTTGTAATTGAAAAGAATAAGAACAGCATAAAGAAGACAGAATAGAATGGAAATGAATGAACAGAAAAGAACAGAATAACTTACATGTTTTGTGAATAAATATTATTTTGGAAAACTTCTCAATGGATTTTTAAGACACCTTATGTGAAATAATATTTTTACTATACTGAAGTGTTTCCTATTCAGAATGAATCTTTGAGAAATCTTTGCACAGTGAATGATTACCCTCTAACAACTTTATAAACCACCTCTTCAGGAATTTTTAACATCAAAGTGATACTACCTATATTTTGAAGAATTTTGCCAACAAACCAAAAGATTTCTGAATACAATTGAAATCCTGGCAATGATGTGTTTGTCTTTAGGTTCTGGATCGCAGTTTTAAAAAGGAATTTTCTGATATTCCCAGTCATCAGGTGGATATACTCTACAAACTTTTCAAACGCCGGCCAAGGTTTGTTTCTCCTTTACTATTATTTTCTGTGAAAAAAAACCTCTGTAAATGAAGAAAATTATAAGATTTCACTGTTTTTTCCCTCCCAATTAGAAATAGTCAATATCACATCATTTAGATGAAGGTTCTTGTCTTGATCATAATTCAGCATTTTTTGAGATTGTGTCTATATCTTACGGTAGGGAATGAAGTATAATATAATAACTCATTATTCAAAAATAGTTAAGTATCTATGTAAGCATTGTGCTATTATTGTTTTTATTTTATGCATGTCATGGGTGACATACAGACTTATAAACAGTTTTACCCAAGACATCTACTAGCAAATATGAGTCTTTATGGTAGGGGTTGGATTTGCACAAGCTAGGCTTCCAGGACTAAATAAGTTTGAGGAAATACTGTGTAAAAATAAAAAAGTTAAACAGTATTCTTTATGCAGAACCTCTCAGAACTTGTTATTGTGTTTTGGATCTCCAGATTGTTTTTTCTCAGAGTGTCTCGTGTGATTATACTCAAGACAAAGTTTGAAAAATGTCAGCATAAATGGTTGAAAATAACGATTATTGAAAGAGTTCTAAAATATCTTTTTTCAAAATGAGTAGCTTTAGAATATTTGGTCGATTTCTAACATCAGAAATTCAGATTTTCAACTAAATGTAATCTAGAAACCATGTAGTTTGTTGCAAACTAATTTGTGTCTGAGACACAAACTCATTCTTTGACAGGTAACATGCAACCCAGGAAAATTAACCTAGAACATGTCTGTGTCTTAGTTTCTATATTTCTAAAGGAGTGTGTTATAATAAACACAAGTAGATCTTTCCCTTGTGAAAAAAGAAGTGAGACCTTCCCCTCTTGTGAAAGAAAAACTTCGTTACCAAAGAGAATTAACATTAAATCCTAGCTCTACCACCTATCAGACCTGGAGGTAGCCTTGGTCCAACAGCTTCCCCCAGAGCCTGACTTTCCTGTCTAGAAATGAGGATAGCAACACTACCTTCACCATGCATTGTAAAGCATCTCCACAGTGAGAACCTGGCACACTCTTTGTACCCTTCTTCCCTTTCCATCTTCAGCCCAGGGAAACCAAGCTAATCTGTGAATGTGGATAAAATGGGCACCTCTCCAGATTCACATTCATCTAAGCATATTCTACTGCAAAAAAGGATACCAGCACAGGATGCACCAGACAGACCAGGGAACACCCACACTCCTCTTGGCATTTATTTATCTGCTTATGATATACAGAAGAGTGTTGTTTCCTAGCACAGGTAAAGCTGCCAGTACTGACAACAGTCAGGGATGTCTGTGGTCCAGCCAGGGGTCATGTCTGCAGACCTAGAAAGTGTGGAAGAAAGACTCTGAAATAATCCACCCACCAGCTTTCAGGTGCCTGGGAAAATTGCCATAGAGTGGTCCATGCCTATGCTAAGGTTCTTGTTATTTAATGCTGATTTTTTTTCTGTGTATGTGAATATGAAATGTTGATGGGCTTTTCTTGATAATATTAGGGTTCACAAACAGAAAGCACACGCAGATACAGTCAATATTGTCCCTTTTGGAGAGCGACCAGAATCTGGCAAATTGAATAAGGACAACTTTGCCCAGTTAATGAAAGCCATGGATGATTTGGACAATATCAGTAACATGCCAGAAGGCTTGGACCCCTCGGTCTGGGATCATTTCTGCACAACTAGAAGAACAAAAGTGGAAAATGAATATAAAGTATATGATATCATTTTAATTTTATTTTATTTTTAGGGTACTAATATCAATTATATAGCTACATTGGTCAGTGCATCCAGAAAAGCTAATTATTTAGATATCTATGGAAGTAATTGGTAATATTAATAGTAAGATAACAAAATAAAATATTAATTTTTGTGCTCTTGAGGACCAAATGCAGGCTTATGCTTGTAGACCCATGCTATCCAAAATAGTGGCCACTAGTGACATGGTTATTTGCACTTGACATAAATGTGGTCAGTCCTAATTGAGATGTGCTTTCGTAGGAAATGCACACAGATTTAGAAGATGTGGTAGTTTTCAATAATAAATGGAAAATGTCTCAATATTTTTATATTGCATATAGGTTGAATGATATTTTTGATGTATTTAGCAAAATACAATAGTAAAATTAAATTCATCTGTTTCACTTTTTATAAAGTGGCTGCTACAAAATTTAAAATTACATAGGTGAGCTGGAGCATGCAAAAAAAAAAGGATGAAAATGTCATAATAAAACACACTATTTTGAACAATAAAAATATTTTAAAACCAATAAAATTATGTATGTGACTCACCTTGGACAGCACTGTTACAGATGCACTCATTTTATATAGATTAGAATTATATTTAGCTAACCAGAGCCAACTTTATAATTTTGCTAGAATAGAAAAAAAATGTAGCAATAGGTAAAAGAGAACAAGTTTAGTTGGAAAGAGAATCCTTCCTCTTGCTGCTCCTTCACCATTCCCTATCAACCCTCCCCAAATTCCCTATACTCAGAGCCATATGCATTAGGGCAGCATATTTTTGTTCAGGTATCTATGATTCTAAAATTTCACCTAAAATGAAAGGAACAATTTGCATCATAAGGTGTGAGAAAAATTCTAGTTGTTTATGTATGTGATTTTCAAGAAGAAGCCAATTTGATACTTCTCAGAGTCTTTGTGGAATGTGCCATGCAAGTTTTACACACCTCATATTACACAATGGCAAGAATTTAAATTTTTATTAATCTCTGAGAAAGATAAACTTACTAACATTTTGTAACAAAGAAAGTCAAAACATGTTTACTGCAGTCAAAGCTTCCACATGTCCTGAGATATCTGGGGTTTGGTTTCTTCAGGTAAAGCAGAAAGCAACTGGGTTAATGGAAATGACAGCCTTTCTCCGGAAGAGAGTTGAAGATGACGAAAATGTGCAACGCGAGATTGAAAAAGTGTTTCACGAACTCATCCTGTAATTCCAACCTTCCAGGTTTACTTACTCCCAGCCTGCGCTCTGGGGCTCAATTAGGTCATGCTTGTCACTGAGGATGCCTGGTGGCTGACTATCTCAGGGCTGGCACAAACTTCTCTGTCTCCATCCCAGTGTTGTGTTGTCATTTTTTAAGACTTGTTTCGGGATGGAATTTGGCCATGTATTCCACTGCTCTCTTAATACAATGAAGCAAGTTTTAGAAAAGAATCTTAGTATTTCTTAAATCTGCCTCTTCCACATAAAAATATGTTCAGGCCGCATAAGCCATGTGGAAAACTAAGCAGATGCCACCAAGTTTCCAGGTAGACACCTGCCAGCTGTGTGCTTTCCTTCAGGGGAGCCAGTTGTTTTTACTGAGTGATTTGGGTGCTCTTTTCAATCCTGGCTTCCAAAAGGCCATATTTACAGCCACATGGGTAAATATTTCATTGATTTCCCAAATTCATCATTATATATCATTTTCAGATCTAGACTATAGGGGGAATATGAATTCTGTAGAAATAGACTTGGTAAGTAGCATATACGTTAATATAGTGTCAGATATCAACAAATGAGGTCAAAACTTGACATTTTGGCAGCATCTCTCTTCTTCATTTTTACTTTATTTCTATTACGAATATAATTCTGTCCATCTTTGAGCAATCCAGTTATATACCAGATCAATAGGAAGAGGTATCAGACAGACCACTAAGAAAGTTTGTTATTGGGAAAATATCCCTCACACCAGTGTCCAGTTTATTTCTCTTAAACTGATTGAATTGTATATCCTCAGCTATCAGGTGAATTTTGAAATGTAAATGTATTACAACTATGTGCTTTGAAGTCTTTTTCAATTTAGATTACAGGAAGACAAAGTGAAATTCCAGTTGAATTTGACAATCCAAATTCTTCTTAAACAAGGACAAGTAGAATTGGAGAATTTCCAGTTAGTTCTGGAGTATTCTGATGCAGTTCTCATCAATAAGAACATCATTGAAGACCTGAATACTGTGATTCGGGTAATCGTACTTTTTTAAAAATAAAATATTGCCTCCTGTGTCAAATATTTTATATTATTCTCTCATTTCCATGATAAGTCATTTGAACTCAGTTAAATCAGTGGTTCCCCCACTCTCAGGTATATGTATTTTTTTTAAAGCTCTCAAATAATTCTAAGATACAGAAAGTTAAGGAGCATGAAGAGTTAAATATTCATTCTAATATGCCACAACTTAAACGTTGCTTATATAATTTTTATCATATAATCCTTTTTATTTATGTAATGTTGGTAGTGATATCTCTGATTACAGTTCTGATTCTAGACATTTGAGTCTTTTTTTTTTCTCCCTTAGCCAATTTTGCTGGACTTATTTCCCAAAGAACGAACTCTTGGTCTCACTCATTTTTCTATTGTTTTCCTGTTTTCTAGTTCACTTATCTCTGTTCTAATCCTACTCTATCTCTCTGCTGGCCTTGAATTTAGTTTGTTCTTCTTTTTCTAATGCCATAATTATAAAGTTAGATCACTGATGCAAGGTTTATCTTCCTTTTTAATGTGTTTAAGTGGTAAATTTCCCTGTGAACAGTGCTCTTGGTGCATCTCATAAGTTTGGGTATGAGATTGTTTGAGACCACTTAGAAAGTAGGCAGACCAAAAAGGGGGAGCCAATATCCCAAATCAAACTCTAAAGTCTAATAGAGAAGGAAGCAGGTAAGGAGATTGAAGAGGAACTTTCAGTAAAGTAGAAGGAAAACTAGTGGACGGTATCCTAGAAACCATGAGAGAACAGTCCCAGGAGGAGGGTCTTGCGCATTGGTTCAGTTACTTGACAAGGGTAATGTCAGTGGAGGATTGGGAAAGGAGCTCAGTTGGTGATGGTGGAATAAAATGAAATGGGGAAGTAAAGATGGTGACTATACCTGCATCCCACAAAAACTGAAAGGAAAGCAGAAGGGAGATGCACCTCTAAAATAGTATATCTCCACCTCAGCTCTCCTGAGGTTTAGGGCAGGATATTACTTGTTGTGAGGACTGTCCTGTGTCTTTGTCCCTGACCTCTACACTTAAATGTGTAGAGGCAATCTCTCTCCAAGCATAGCATAAAGAATATTGTTCCCTGCTGAAGCAACATATTTCCTTTAGCTGAGAAACAAGTTCTAGAGAAATTTTTGAACTTTAGATGTTGGAGCTGTTGATGGCAAGATCCAAGGGAATGGGGTGGCTGAAGTGAAATGGAGGAAAGGTCACTGAACATAGGAGATTCAAGGAGTGACGAGGCCAAGCTAAAATCAGAAGATAAAAGTAAGGGCTGGTGGAGTAGCTCAAGCAGTAAGAATGCCTGCCTAGCAAGCATGAGGCCCTGAGTTCAAACCTTGTGCTGACAAAAAAAAAAAAAAAAAGAAGAAGATAAAAGAGTAGAAGGTGGTGTGGAATAGTCTGGTGGCAAGAGCTTTAAAAAGCTAGACTGGAAGTTTGTGTTCTTGTTTTGTTTTGTTTTTCCACTTGCCACCAAACAGGTAACTGCTATACCTGGCTATATTAAGTACAGTGCTTTATCCATAGTATCAGGTGGGAGGACAAGAAGTTGGTAGGATGGAAAAGGTATTCCTGCCCAATCCTTACCATATACAGTCAGTTGGCTCTGCCCTTAAATGTGTCTTATAATTCCTCCTGTTTAGTGACTATCATGCTTCATTGTGATCAGATTCTGCTGAAGTCATTTTTAAAATGAAAACAATTATCTCTGCAGCCTGTGTTTTCTTAGAATAAATAGCATTTGGCTTCAAAAATTCTGTAATTCTGTATGCAGAATCTTAAGAATATCAAATGTATTTTTTTAGACTCAAGGACAAAAAAAAGTTGCTAGCATGATGGAAAGTAAAGATGTACACAAAGGAATATATCAGATTGAGTGGGAACATAAGAAAATGGAGATGGAAATGGAAGATCTAAATCAGAAGGCTTGGGATATTCAGATGTTGTTTTTTTCAAGAGATCGCCAGAAGGCAAGTTTTCTCTGTCCCCCTACAGTTTTCATTTCATTCATTGAGGTATCCATTCATTTAACCCACATTTATTAAGAAACCTCTGTGATGGCAACCACATTTTAAGCCAGAAGCTTTTCCTGAATGCATCTGTGAGTTCTTTCCTTCCAGTGGTTTACATTTGCCGCCTTCAGGAGTATATTTCTTACAGTTCACTGAGGATTTCCTAATTGTCAAATTCAGTGCTCCTTTTCTCAGTCTACTACTACCCTCTGTTCTCTGCCACATTTGACCATCCAGTTACCCGTTCTTTTGGCTGACTTTATCACCCCTATTTTCTCCTGTCTTTCTTCCAACATGTCAGACCACTCTGCCTCTTTAACTGGAATCTCTTCTGCTTCTAGGTCTTAAATATAGCTCTTTCCATGCCCTCTCCCTTGATGATCACGTCTTTTTTTCTAATATCAACGATCACTTCTGAAAGTCGTATCCAAATTCTCTGGATTCCAATCCAGTTGTTCCAATCCAAGCTCTCCATTCCTGACCTCCCTTCAAGCTCCATTTCTACATTTTTCCCTCCCTATAGCTCCTGTTCTTAATTTGTTTCTTCTCATTCTTTCCAGCCACTCATTCAGGCTTAAAGTTTTAGTCTTCTTTGGTTTCCCTCTTTCCTGTCTTCCAAGTCTGTCTCAGTTTATTTTTTATTCCTTCCTTCTCTATCCCTGCTGCCTCTGCTCCAATTCAGTCCTCCATTTTCAATGATTTAGATGGTCTTAAAATTAATCTCGAACTGGTCTCTTGACCTTGGGTCTCTCTCTCTCTCTTCCCCTCCTTCCCTCCCTCCCTCTCTTTCTCTTTTATCTTTATTTTTGTGTATCGTTGTCAGATTTCAATTCCTAATTGACTCTAATTACATTAGTACCCAGCTCAAACATTTTAAACTAACGCTTTTTAACCAGCAGTGTCTTTCAACTTACCTTTGTAGCTCCTCTTATATGTCAATATTCTCAAACCAGATGGATTAGCATTTGCTCATACTAGTTCTTCTACCTGGTTCTTTTTTTTTTCACATTCTAAATGTACCTGTTTGTCAAGGTTTAGTTTAAATGTCAAATGTTACCTTCTCCATAAGCCTAGGAAAACTCCATCCCATCACAAACTACCTTTGAATTTACTAACATTTTACCTGTCTTCTGACAACTAATCACTTCTTTTGTGTTCTTTTTCTTGAAGACTAGGTCATGTTACCTATCTTTGTTTCCAACTCAGTATCTTTAAGTAAAACACTGTTAATATAGGACTTAATCTGAGTTTGGTGAGTTGAATAAATGAATGAGAAAAGACTCTAGGCATTTGTAATACTTAGCATATAGATAAGTGTATTGATGGCTAAATATAGTAAATATTATAGCATAAAAATCAAATCAATCTTAATTTACATAGATATGTAATAATTTTCAAAACTAAAACAGAAAAAACCCACCTATGTATCTCAGAACACCCTGCAAAAGCAGAATTGGCTTGATGAGATACTAAACTGATTAGATCATGGTTTCTGGATTCATGGATTTTGTTGATGATGTCAAAAAAGGAAAAGAAAAAAAAAAGCCTTCAGAATTGGGGGTTGTGACTCATGTGGCAGAGTGCCCCTCTAGCAAGCACAAGGCCCTGAGTTCAAACCCCAGCACCAATAAACAAATAAATACATATGTAAATGAACAATACAAATACATAAAAAAACTAAACAATCTTTATAAAGCTACCTGTTGAGAGAAATGAGAAAAATATCCTTACATAAATTGTTTCTTTTTTTTCTCTTAAAGTACCTAAATGAACCAAACTATGAGAATGTGATTGCTATTCAGATTGGAATAATGGAGCAAACCATTAATGTTATAGACAAGGTCAGTCTCAAAGATATGGATCATTATAATCCCAGCAGTTGTGAGTCATTCCCACATGATAACAATGTTTTAATCATGAACTCAGACAGAACCAGAGCATTTACTGGTTTTCAGGAGGTAATTAGAAGTTCCTGAATGCTGTCTTTGCAACCCTAACCAACTGTATAGACTATAGCACTTTTTAAAATATTAGAATTAACATCAGGGAACAAATGTGGGCGAAGGTGGATTTCTTATTTCACATTAGGTTAGATTTATTTAATAAAAATGTTGATAGCCTTTCATTGGTATTGTAAAGGCTTTGTATTATCCTGAGTAACAAATGCTCAGTTTTGGATATACAGCATATACAAGAAAGAAATAAAGTAATAACAAGATTTTTAATATTTAATATCACTTTTAAGGATATACCAAATTTCTCTACAATGTAGTATTAACATACATTCTTTCAACAAATAATTTGAATGTCTACTGTGAACAGACCATATGACAAGCACTGGGGATATGGTGTAAGATGTTATCTTAGTGATAATATACTTAAAATGGTAATTCTTTATAATATAAATTATATTTTTCTCAAAATTATTTTTTGTGGGATTTCATGGGAACAAAAATTTCAGACCCACAAGAAGAATGTCGAAAACTGCAAAAAGCTACTAAAAAAACTGGGGAAATTCAGCAATCAAAAAGATGTAGCAAATTATACGCTAAGCTGCAATCTACGGGAAGAGTTGGTAGCTGTTTCAGAGAGAAAAGACATCTGCAATGCAATGGGTAAGCCTTTCCCTTTAATCAACTGTAGGTTTCTCTAAAAGTAATGGGTATTCCTGAAATCTATACAGTAGTGACAAAGCTACCAGCATTCCTACCAGACAATTGACTCTGGGTGCTGTTTCTGTATTTGGAAGAGTTAATAACAATCCAGCTAATTCCTTCCTTCTTAATTTCTGGTAGGGTCTATGCTGACTTGCGAAAAGATTGCCAAAGAGAAATATGAAAACATGATGCAACAACAGAAGTTAACAAATATTTCAAAACAACAAGCTGAGCAGATTTCAATACTACAGGCTGAAGTTGAAAGGTTAAGGATGAGAACATTTCCTGCTCTTGTTCAAATGTAAAATGCTAGCAGTAAACACAGGCCAAACCAATCCTTTGAGAAATCATTTGAGTAAAACGATTGCTTTTTTCTTTATATCAGGAAATGTAAGTAGAGTCACCTCTTAATTGCATGTTTTAAACAGCAAGTTGTTCATTTTAGTCTTAATGAGTATACCAATTTTTGCCTTACATGAATGTGTAATATACCAGAACTTGTTGTTGTTATTCAATAAAGCCAGAAAGTACTCAAGATTTATTCATTTAAAAATGAGCAAAATTTTGAAGGTTAATTTCTGTTCCATCAATAAGAACAAAGTAAACTGTTTACTTTTTCCAAGCCTTAAATCATTCGTAAATTATGACTTATTTTAAATATATAATCTTCATTTCTTATTTAGCACAGCTCAATTTTGTGCTCTACCCAATAGGGGGTAGCAAACAGGGGAAAAAAAGTGCTTTCTTATTTCCAAGACATAGTTTATTATCCTACTCATGTAGATGATGATAATTATGTAACAAGATTTACTGGCAGGAAACTTCTTTGTCCTTCCACAGCCTGTGGACTGCTGCATCCAAGGTGATTTCACTGGAATCATTTTAAGTGATGTCAATGCCTCACTGTTCGGCAATTTATAAACTAAACGTTAATTTTAATCCACAATACGTTATGCAATAGTCACTGGTTCAGGTAAAGCAAGAGAGCTATTATAAAGCCCCCCATTTAGAAAAAACTTTTAGATTTGATAGAACCACACACATTATTTGGTTGACTTCCTCACCCCCTTAGCACTAGAATGACTCCTATAGTAGTAGTTGGGTGATTCAGCAGGGAAGTAACATTGGTAAAAATCCCTAATATCTCTGAAACAGGAACTGTGTGGACCTCAGAGAATGAAGGATACAAATATTTTATATTTAACATGGGATTCCAGAAGCTCTCTATTCTCTTTGTTTGTGTCAACCTTGGATGTACTAGACTTGGTTTGTTTTTTTCTTTTCTGGGAATACAGATGTCTTTTTTTAAATATAAATAAAAATATGGTATTCAATGGTTTTTCAATAAATGCATCCTATTAAATGGAGGTAAAATTCAACAGAAATGCTAAAAAGGACTACACAGGGCATCCTCAGTCCCTGCACTATACCCCATAAATCCCACTCACCCTGATGAACTACCTCCTAAGTACCTATTGTGCTTGTTGAATCCTTATCTATGCTGCATGTCAATGCCTGGAAATCCCATTTCCGTGCCCCCAATTCTCCCAGAAACAGAGTCCCACTGGACTCATCCCAGGATGAGTCCAGAGGATGTGCCTGCCAGGAGTGGGCAGCCATAACCTCCAAGATCTAGATAGGTACCACACATTTATCTACCAGAATGTCAACACACCACCAGGGGTTGATGATCCCCTGGCTAAGCAGCAGTAATGGAGCCTGGGTGGTAGGCACCAGAACAGCACAGGTCCCCAGAGGTGCCCATCTAGAAATCCCAGATGTGAGGCCTGGTCCAGTCTTCTTGGACTCACAAATGCCAATAGCAATGGCAGTGACTAGAAGTAGAAATTATGTGTCTATGTGGGGGGATGGGAGGTTATTGGCATAGGCACTAATAGCAGGGAAGATCAGGTCCCTGGGGTTCCGTACTATGTCAAACATTAAGAGTTTGTTGGGGCGGAGTGGGTGGTAAGGGAGGGGGTGGGGGCAGGGGGGAGAAATGAACCAAGCCTTGTATGCACATATGAATAATAAAAGAAAAATGAAAAAAAAAAAAAAAGTTTGTTGGGGTAGGGATAGGTGGCCCAAACAATGTATACACGTGAGTTAATGTAAAAATGATAAATAAAAAGTTGTTAGACTAAGAAGAGGGACTGGGCTGAGTGGGGTACTTTTGGGGGCAGGCTCAGAGTAGTGGCTGTTTACCAACTAGTAAGGAAATACTTTTCTTTTTCTAACTAAGCAGTTTTAGTCCTTGAAAGGGTACGGAAGCAGAAATTCCAGAAGTCCTCAGGAATGACTAGCAACTAGAACAAGGAAGCCATAGATCCACAAAATTCTCCATCGTATCTCTACCTTTTTCTGCACACCACTTGAAGGGAAACAGGCTCTGCTGGTTCCAAGCTTACATAAACAGCTCCAGCCACAGAGATGGGTCTTCTTTCCCTGAGTTCACTCTAAATTCTTAGGGACTAGGCCAGCTACACTGCCAGGATGACAGGTCCAATTATGTAACTTGGTAGCAAGTATGTTTCTGGCTGAGAGGGTCATTATGAACTGAATAGATCCTCCCAGTTAATTTCACAAATGAAGTGGTAGAGGAATGTGAAGGACTTTGTAAGCTATCATCCCTTAATGTGGGAAATGAGAGTATGTAGTTTCCTGAGAAACAGCTAGTCATTTCACTAAATGAATGAGAAACAAATTTGAAAAAAAGAACATAATTTTGGACATGAGTTTAATTACCTGAGAGATAGTAGATGGAATGTTGTGGTAAATGGGTGAAATGAGATTCATAAACTTATAAGAGGCAGGCATCTTTAGACCAGTTTAGGTTTAGACATTTGCCAGACTGGACTATTTAACACTGAAAATAAAACCTTTTGCCCCAAAAGCAAAAGAGTATACTACAACTGATTTCCAGGATTGTCCAAATTGCCTTTCAAACATGATTTAAATTTTTCCTTATTTCTTTAAATACCAATTTTTCTTTGGCAAATCTATCTAAAATACTAAATTCCACTTTAGAATTTAGTTGATATATTAGAGTATCCTAATTTAATTTTCATCAAGACACCTTCCAGAAAAAAAAAAAAAAAAAAGACACCTTCCTCTGAGCTGGCTTTCATTCTTCCTTTAAAAATGTGCTAATTAATTTCTCATTAAGTTTTCAAAGATATTCTGGAAAGGCACTAAGGATGTGACTCAGTGGTAGAAAGCATTCAAGGGTCTGAATTCAATCCCCAGTACTGAAAAACTAAAAACAAACAAAAGAAGATATTCTGGGGAAAAAAAAAAACTGAATCAAACACCTAAAAATTCTTCTTCAGTTCTGTTATAACGTAGCAATTTATCATCTAACCCGTAGTGGTCGATCAATTGACTAAGGCTTAGTTTCTTGTTCTCTTCAGACATAGCTGACTGCAATTCATAAAGTAATAGCTGGCTGCAGTTTCGCCACTTCTTTATTAATAACTGTAACTGTGACAGGTCATTCTGAAACAGAAGAAAGTTTAAAAAACATGAATGTATGTCAATAAGGATAGTCATGCTATTTTACCTTACATCATCAAAGCTTCTAACCAGTTGATGCGTAGGGTTAAAGTTAGCAAGCTAACATCCCAAAAGATGAATGGGACTTCTACCTAGGAAAAATGTAGGATGGTTATAAATAGAATGTCACTCAACGTGAGTTCTATGGCTATTTTGTTTGGTCCAAGCTCTGGACCAGCCTTATCCTTCAGAGAGAAATCAAACCATTAAATAGGGCAAAACTATGTAAAAAAAGCAGTAATATAGGTTTTAAAAATCTACTTTTTATATTACAACTATACATTTAAAATATGACACTAAGTTGTACCTTCCCCTCAAGTTTTACTATGAATCCAAAACTTCTATTAAATATTAAAAATATTTTCAACATTCAATGTCTTCATAAGTCAGTCATATTTAGAAAACTTCTAATTAGAAGTTCTAGACAGCAAATGAGATATGCCATTCCATCATTTATTTCACGTTTCTGGGGAACAATGAGCTATTTACATAGGCATGAGTTATTAAAAGAGGTTATCTCCTTCCAGGCACACAAGTTCTATTTAATTTAACCTACATGGGTTAAAATCTAATATATGTATTTTTTCCAAATAAAATGCTTAAGACATTTTAATTATTTGGAAGAGACATAAGATCATTTACTAAAAGTACTTTTTTTCCTTTGGTGGTACTGGAGTTTGAACTCAGGGCCTCACACTTGCCAGGCAGGCTCTCTGCCACTTGAGCCACTCCACCAGCCCTGTTTTCTGTGTTGGGAATTTTCAAGTCAGCGTTTCTGGAACTATTTGCCTGGAGCTGCTTTGAACTGCAATCCTCCTGATGTCTGCCTTGAGTAGCTAGGATTACAGGCATAAGCCACCAGTGCCAGGCCCAAAAATAAGATGTAATATTCACCTTATTCATTGTCATCTGCCACTTCTGTTTCCATTGTAATTACATCGAACATTTAATACTTTAGCTTTACTACAGACTAGGAACTGCAAAGAAAGCTTCAAGTGAGTATTAAATAAAAGCTTAGGTTTCCTTAAGTTTTACCTGGTTTTGACAGGCTTCTACTACTGAATTATAAATCTATGACTTACATTTCAGCTCAAGTTGTTGGGCCAGGCACTGGTGGCTCATGCCTGTAATTCTAGCTACTCAGGAGGCAGACATTAGCAGGATCCTGGTTCAAAGCCACCCTGGGCAAATAGATTAAAAGATCTTATCTCAAAAATACACAACACACACAAAAAAGGGCTGGAAGAGTGGCTCAAGTGGTAAAAGCACCTGCTTACCAAGTGTGAGGCCCTGAGTTCAAACCCCAGTGCCACCAAAAAGAAAAAAGTTGTTGGAAGCCAGATTTCTGGATATTTGACTTACTGTTTATTATGAAATAAATTTATAGCTTATTTTTGAAGTTACTTTTCTATAATTTATGTAAAAATAATGCAATGGTTGTAAAATTCTTCTCACCTTTGATCTATACATTTTGACTAGTTTTAGCCTCCGAAGAAGGTCTTCCTTCTCCTGAATCTGCTGCACCAATTTTGCTCTTTCTTCCTTTAATCCTTGTTTAGGACTCTCATTCACAAAATCATTTTGGAGAGTACTGTATGACCCAGTATCAAGTGACTTAGATTCACATGCACTGATATCCTTGATGATATTTTTCAAGAACATACTTTCTTCAGATTCACTGTCTATGTGTTGAAGACTTTCTTGAAATTCCACACAGTTTTCTTCTGTTGAAGATGCTGTTTTTTCTGAAAGGATCTGATCATTTTCTTCATTCTCTACTTTAAGACGTTTCACCACACTGCAATAGGAATTAAATGAAGATCTTGTTTTCCTTAATCTTTCTCTAAGTGTTGCACTCATAGGCTGTAAAGGACACAAAACATTAAAAAAATACTAATCAAGAAAAACATTCTTGATGTAAAATTTAAAAGGCCTTACATTTCTATAATAGGTACCACTAGATAGCTTTCTGTCTTATAACTAAAGTAAGTATCACAAAATGTATTTAATTTGTAGACACTCCATTAGTTTTTCCTTTTTCCTTTAGCAAAGTTAACATCCTTCTAAAACAGTGCTGAGACACTTATCCCGGTATCAGGGACATTTGTTCAGCAACTAGAATGTGCCTGGCCCCATGCCAGGTGCCTCAGAATTACAGATTAAGGAAAAGACCTTCATAAGGATCATATTGTAGATTCAAAATTCCTCCATTTGCAGTGTCACAATAACCTGATGTGAAACTAAATGTTACGGATTCAAGATGAAAATCTGGCAAGGGGAGATGTTACATATGTTAACACTCTTTAGTCTACTTAAAACCACCACTGTCACAGTATTTTGAAACAGAATGGATTCACTGAAGAACCAAGATTTTCATACTTGCTTCCGTGAGCTGTTTGTATAGGGAGATGGTGGATTCCCACAGGCCTGAGGAGTGCCAGGGAAAATCACGGCTGAGTCTGATGGATATTCCATCTTGATAAGGTAGTCTTTATTAATGTCTAAAAAAGAAAAAGTAATTATAAAATGGATCAAATTAACTATACCTCTACACAACCCTCCATTTTTATCAAACACATTTTCACTAATGTGCAAGGTATCAAGAAAGCCAGCAATTTCTTCTACTACACCTGGCTGTAATTTTGTTTTTTCGGTACTGGGGCTTGAACTCATGGCCTTCACCTTGAGCCACTCCACCAGCCCTATTTTTATGAAGGATTTTTGGAGATGGGGTCTCCAGAACTATTTTCCCTGGCTGGCTTCAATCCGTGGTCCTGCTGATCTCTGCCTCCTAAGTAGCTGGGATAAGAGGTGTGCGCCACCGGACACAGTTCATTCTCCTTCTCTTTGAGTATTCTTTATCTTCCCACACAAGTTCGGGGTGTTTTCCATGACAAACTAATCATAGTATCTCACTCTCCTTGGCTTTTTGCTCTCAAAATATCTACAAAATCTGCACTGTGGAGAAGGGCAACTTTAGTCAAAAATTCTTTAATTACAATAGCTTCGGAACTAAAGGGGATGCAGCAGAAACCTTGACTGAAAAGTGACTGTCAGGCTTCCTAAATCCCAAAAGGTGTGACTCGAACCAGTTTCGCTCCGGGCCTGAAGCGGAGCTACTCGACGCCACCCCACCCGGTTTTGTTTTAGGTACCGCACGGACACTGAAGGAGTCCACTGAGGCTGCTTCCTTCAACGCGGGATCAACTTGACCAGGGCAAACCCCCCAACACACTGCAGGAAAGCCCACCAGCCGGGCAAAGCCTCCAGGCCTGAGGTGAGGTCGACTTTCCGCACCGCGGAAAGGGAGCTCTGGCCTACCCCAAAGCAGACCCGCGAACGCGGAGACGTCCCCTAGCTCGCACGCACACGAGCTCCCTCCGCCATGCCCAGCACGTACACAAAGCGCGCGCAGCTGCGGCCTTAAACCTGCTCCGGCCCAGGGGCGGGGCCGCAGGGGAGGCGGAGACACCCATGATTGGCTAAATTAACTGTCTCGCGCGGCTCTGCCTCGCCTAGCGCCCGAAGAGGGGCTAGACTGCGCGCGCGCGGTCGCGAGCGTCTGCCAGAGGGAGCGGAATCAGGGCGGGGCTACACGGGGAGGAGGTGACCGAGATGCATGATTAGCAGGATTGGCTAGCGCGCGCGGCTCTGCTCCGCCCAGCGCTCGAGTGTGACGGGGCTGCGGGCGCGCGGCCGCGAGCCTCTGACGGCGTCGGGGGTGGGCGGGGCTCGAGCTTCCGAAAGACCGATGGATCCTGAGGGAGGCGCGCTTCCGCTCGCGCCTTCCCTTCCCTTCTGTCTCCGTCAACCGCCTTCTCTTCCGGTTTCCTTGTTTTTGAGCGTCCGTGAAGCACACATGACCATAACCCCCCCGTCTCCGCCCCATTCTCCTGGCTCCCGTCAGTCTGGTCTGCGCGCTCACCACAGCAAAGGCTTTCCTCAGACGTGGCGGGACCGAAAGCCGCACAGCTGGCGGCCTGCCCAATCTGCAGCTTGTAAACGCTCCAAAGGAGAGATCACAAAAGAGCAGCCTGCTGAGAGTCAGAGAGGTTGCAGGCCTCTCCAAGAGCCCCGAACATTCAGTGGCGCTAATCTCTAGCTTTCTTTACTGCCGCAAGCCTGGCGGACGCGCCCCTAAATTCTGGACTGTATCCTCAAAATTCAGGTCCCTTAGCTTGGCTTCACATTTTTTCAGTTAAGTCTGAGAACAAATGTAGCCTGAGGAGATGTGTTGTGGCGCAGTGCGGGAAGCAGAACAATCGCTAAATGAGTTTGGTTTGGTCCGGAAGTGAGATGTTTGAGACAGACACTGCCCAGGCCGAACCCCCCCAGCCGCAGCATCCTCACCCTAAAAACTCACCACTTCCGGTGTTGCCCGTTCTGTTGCTAGGCAACGGCAAAGCGCACTGACGGGTGGAGCGCTGGGTTTGGGGAAAGGCAGTTGAGTAACTTCTGAGTCACCGGGAAGTTGGGAAATTTTAGGGGCCGGTGTTTTCAATCCTCTTTATTGAGAGGCCATTTCATTTTATTGATTTTTTCGTAAAACCAGTATTTTAATCGATTGTACTTAAACTAGCCAAACGGATACTAATTTATCATGATGCAGTCAAGTATGTAACATCTTTCTACAAATAATAATGAACAAAATAGTGGTTGTATTGAAAGAGCCCAAGGGGTAGAGGAAATCAACTGAACACCTGGTAGCTCAACCCTTCACCTGAACAGTTGACTTTTTGATAGAAAGTGCCCCATCCTCCAATAATCTTCACACACCTTTGCACTTTTTTACTTCCTACGCTTGAGGTCAGTCTGCATCCCAAAGCTACCCAAACTTGCCGGGAACCGGTGGCTCACGTTGAAAGGCCATTTTAAACCGTGACACTGTCTCCTTACTAATATCTAACCATAATAGCTTAGAAGTAGCCAGAAGGAAAGAACTTGAGTCCTAAGCAATCAGGTATAAACACAGAACCTGAAGATAACCAATGTAGTGATTAGGGACATAAATGTTGAAATCGAATTGCCTAGGTCCAAGTCCTGACATACCTGCTTTGGAATGTAGTGTCCGTGTGTCTCAGTTTCCTCCACTGTAAAATGGAATAACAGTGTCCACTCTTAAAGACTGGAGAGTTAAGTGAGAACTCATGAGGCAGCTAGAACAATGCCAGGTGTCTAGGAAGCATTCAGCAGATGGTTTACATATTTAGGTATATTCCCCATTCCCTAACTGATTTAAAGGAATGTATCATACACGCATTTATCCCTTATCTCTCCCCCAACACAGATTTTTTTTTAAATGATGCTATGATCTGTAAAATCCCACACAATTTAAAGCAGAAACTTGGAGCCTCTACATAGAATTAATACGTATTCCACTCCTAAAATTTTTTAAAAGTTATATAAATTAGCCTCAAGGAATTTACAAAGTCAAAGTCAGAATTCATGATTTTATGATACAGGTGTTATTCACCTCACCAGCCCACAGATCACAACCTGAACAGCTTTTTTTTTTTTTCCTTTACTTATTCCCTGGCATGAGTTAATCACACTGAAAAAAGCAGAATGATTTGTCCTGACACCAGAAGTACAATACAGACTCTGTACATTCTTTATACCTCCAGGCATAAAGGTGAGTTGTTTTTATGAGTTCCTAAAATCAGCTGCTCCCTCAATCCTTTTATCATTACAACCTAAGCTTAGAGCTGTGTTTTTACTGGCTACATGAAGGAAAACAACATCTTGCCTTGCAAATGTTCTGACTTGCTTTTTATGTAAACTGATATATTAATATGGGATTGTTTGGCCAGATTTTCAAAGAACTTCAGAACAAATACTTAGAAAAACCTGTATTTCAGAAATGTGCTTTTGTTGACCTACATTTCTGACATCTGTGCATTGTTAGGATTTAATGATCTTGCCATATTTAAGTTTATATTTTACTCACTCTTGTTACATACCATATTTTACTTACTCTTGTTACATACTCTTGTTCTATTCTTACTTTAGGGTAAAAGATCTATAATATAGATAACCCCTATAGGGCTGGGAAAGTCACTCTTGGTATAATGCTTGCCTATCACTCATGAGGCCCTGGTTTGATCCCCACCATTGCAAAAATACTAAAAATTGAAAAATAGCCTCTATAATTTCCATGTACTCAGATAAAGCCTAAGAAACAGCCAGGTGCTGGTGGCTGGTGCGTTTAATCCTAGCTATTTGGGAGGCTGAGATCAGGAGGATTATGGTTCAAGGCCAGCCCAGACAAATAGTTAGCAAAACTCCATCTTCAAAATAGACAGAACAAAATGGACTGGAGGTGTGGCACAGCGATAGAAAGCCTGCTTTGCAAGCACAAGACCCTGAGTTCAAACCCCAACCCCACCAAACAAAACAAAAAAAAAAAAAACAAAGAAGACACCCTACCATTTCCATGTCTTATTGACTGGATATCTATTTGATGCTTCTGATGCAGGATGTTGTATGTTTCATACAAAACTTTTCAGGCATGGCAAAACACTGATGAATCAGAGAGGAAAGACTCCAGACCCTACCATAGAGAACAAAATAAGTACTATAATTCAGTGATAATAGTAATTAATACCAGCCTAACTCAGGCTTTCTGTGTGTGTTTTTAAATTTCTTCAATACCCAAGGCTACTGTTGGTCCTTTGTTGTTCATTAGGGAGTGGTGACATGTTTTTTCTGTTCTCGTCTATGATAATTGTTGGTAAGACGATGACATAGGCCTACTAAAAATCTTTATGAGATTTTAAATTTATTATTCTATTTCAATGGCAAGAAAATAATAGTGAATAGCACCCTTCCTAGCCACAATTAAAATTTTCAGTTTAGATTTATTTATTTTTAAAATTCTTAGCTCTAGCATTATTTTTAAACCTTAACAATAATCTCAAGATATTCTAAATTCCATTTCATAGATATTTTTGTATTGACCAAAAAAATGTGTCTCTGGTAGATATCATAGCTAGTACCTAAGGTATTTTTTAAAAAAAGATATAAACTCTTTTGAAAGTAGGATTAAAATCCAATTGGGTGAGGATTTTTATTTATAATATCCATTAGGACAAATTAAACAACACAGATTTATAACACTCAGGAGAAAAACTCACTAAATTTTCTTAAATGAGTTATAATATTTCCTATGACATTTTTCTTATTTGTACATAAGCTGAATATCACCTTTTAAAAATCTTGTTTAGGTTTCTCTTACCATGAATTCCATTTGCATCTTGTAGACCTGTCCATGGTATAGATTTTTTGTTGTTGCTCCATCATTTCATAACTTTCTCTTTGGGAATAATTGAAAAACTTATTTCTGTTTCATTCTTTGTTGCCAAAATAGCTCATCTGGAATTCTAAAATCTGTAATTAATTTACTTGTAGAGACTGTTGAAGACTTTGTTATCAAAGGGGACCTTTGTGGCTTAATATTCTTTAGTCGATTTAACTAAGAAAGGATCCTATTTTTATCCCCAGGATGAAAGTGCTGCTAAATTAAGTTTTTAAGCATTCCCAAGAGATTGCCTCACTGAGTAGAATAGTTACATAGAATGTAGAGATATGGGGAGGGTCAACTAGAAAATTTATCTGATAGCTAACATTCAGAATAATGCACTGAACACAAAACAAAAGAGCTCCCTTCACCTGAAGTTCCTGTCCTTTTATTCTATCAAATTTGGCATTTTGTCAAGTCCATTAAAGACTAGAGAAGCAAGAATGTCTATGATTCACTGCTATTACAGGGTGTGTTCCCTTGAGAAGAAAAGAGTAATTCAGGTTAGATTAATAATGGTGAGAGGAGGTGGACTATGTGGGTGGGTGGGACAGTGGCATAGGAGTTAGATTGTGAAAAAGTATTAAGAATAAAAGCATTGCTCAGGGCCACATTCTCAGATCCTTTATTACAAATGTCACTTTCGCATTCATTTGAAGAAAAAAGGCATTAGATGTCAGCAAATCCTTAAGCAACAGAACTTGTCTTGTAATCATCTTTAACCACCTTGAAGTTTGAGAGATAACAACCCCCATGATAATTTCAAGTGTTGAAATCTGTTTGAAGTGCCGGTAAGCACATCAACCTCAGTAGTCTACCTTTGCCTTGCCTCTTATCACTGTCTCAGTCCTGAGGATATGAGATTTTTTTCTTGAAGATTTTTATAGATAGAGGAGCGAAGGTTTCTAATAGTGCCAGGAAAATAAGGAGTTAAGACACCATTATATCATGTTCTAGGATATTACTGTCTTCATTCTTCCACCCCTTAACAAACAATGATATAAATATAGTAGTAGATCAAATATGTAGATTTAGCCTAACCAGAAATTTTCTGGCCTGCTTCAGGATCTAAGATCTAAACTGAAACTTAATTCCTTTCCCACCACCCTACCAATC